TGCGCTTCTTTTTCATCATTTTATTTTATTTATTTATTTATTTATTTATTTATTTATTTATTTATTTATTCATCCTCACCCGAGGACATGTTTCCATTTTTTGTTCAGATTGAGTGGGAGGGGGAGAGAGAGAGAGAGAAATATCAATGTGAAAGGGACACATTGAGTGGCTACCACCTGCACGACCAACCAGGGCTGGGGACAAACTGAGGTACGTGCCCTTAGCAGGAACCAACATTCTAACCACTGAGCCAAACTGGCCAGGGCTCTTTTTCATCATTTTAATGGCTATTTTTGCTGACTTATTCTTTCTAATGAACCTTAAAATTTATCTGGCTCCAGGGGGAAAAAAAGCCTAACAGTGTTTGATTGGGACTGTCTCAAATATACAAATTAAATTAGAAGTAACAGACCAATCTTAGAGAGAGAGGAAGAGAGAAGAAGAGAGAGAAGCAAACATCGATATGAGAGAGAAACATTGATCTATTACTTCCTTCCTGCATCTCAACCAGGAATCGAACCCAGAACCTGGGTGTGTTCCCTGACTGGGAATAGAACCCATGACCCTTTAGTGTATGGGATGATGCTCCAACTAACTGAGCCACACTGGCCAGGGCAAAACAACATCATTATAAAGTTGAGTCACCCTGTAGAAGAACATGTTCTTCCATTTGTTTGAGTCTTCTTTTGTGTTTTTCAGTGTTTTGTAGCTTTCCTTATATAGGTTTTGGATAATTTTTGTTACATTTATATCTAGATATTTCTATTTCGCTAGTATAAATGGTAGTGCCATCATTTAAAATTTTTAAACATGTAACTGAAATAAAGGAATGATTTTCGACCTCTGGGTCCCCTTCTTTGATCCTGTGCTCACCTCGGGAAAGAATAAAGAGACTACTATTGACTGAACTCTGTCCGGGCACTTTCACAGGTACAACTTTATTTAACCTTCACGGTAACCCGAGAGGCTAAGGATTGCTCTCCCCACTTTTTTGGAGAGCAGGAACTCAGTGACTTGAGAATTAAAATGTGATTTTTATCCTCTTTATGTTTCATTATCTTCATTTTACAAATGAATGAGTCACAACACAGGAAGGTCTACAGGAGGCATTAAAAGTCCTTATCCCGCCCTGGCCAGTTTGGCTCAGCGGTTAGAGCGTCAGCCCATGGACCAGAGAGGCCCGGGTTCGGTTCCTGCTAAGGGCACGCACCTCGGTTACAGTTTGTCCCCGGCTCTGGTTGGGGTCGTGTGGGTGGCAACCGCTAGTGTCTCTCTCACATCGAGATGTTTCTCTCTCTCTTACACCCTCTCTTCCTCCCTCTCTATCTGAAGATAAGTGCAAAAGTGTCCTCAGGTGAGGATTTAAAAAAAAAAGTCCTCACCCTGGCATGTTCACTTACTAACCATAAGGTTTCAGATTGGATACAATGTGCCAATAATGTAAAATAGTGCCTTGTTTAGTGTCTGATCCTAAAGAGAAGATCTATTATTTCACCACTAAGTATGACATTGGCTTTTAGTTGGTATTTTTATTTTTATTTTTATTTTTATTTTATTTTATTTTATTTTTTTATCCTCACCCGAGGACATTTTTCCATTTTTTTGTTCAGGTAGAGTGGGAGGGAGAGAGAGGAACAGAGAGAGAGAGAAACATCGATGTGAAAGGAACACATCGAGTGGCTGCCACCCGCACAACCGACCAGGGCCGGGGACAAACTGCAACCGAGGTACGCGCCCTTAGCGGGAACCGAACCCGGGTCTCTCAGGACCGCAGGCCGACACTCTAACCGCTGAGCCAAACCGGCCAGGGCTTAGTTGGTATTTTTAGACTTCATTTTGGGTTTACCGAAAATGTTTTCCTATTTAAAATCACTTGAGCTGCTCAGAAAATACCTTGTGCTAGACACGGAGTTTATTGCTAAATAAGACAGGTTAGTTTCCTGTTCTGATAAGGTTTACATTGTAGTGTGTGGAACAGCAGGGAGGAAGGGTAGATGGGGGGGGGGGGGGAGGAGAGAAGATAAGCAAACACAAAAAAATGGAAATAGATAACTTCAGAAAGTGACAAGTGTTAAAAAACAAAATAGGGTAATATCATGGTAACAGAAATCCTGATTCAGATAAGGTGGCGGTAACATTTGGGGTGAGATGTAAGTTTCACAGAGGCAGCCTTGCAGAGGTCTGCAGGACAAGCGGGGGGAACAGCTGGTGCCAGGGCGTCAACTTTTACAAGAATTCATTTTTAGATTTTTTTGAAATTATTTTAAAAATTAATAAAATAAAAATGATATATACAACGTATTTCATTTCTTTTACCCTGAAAGTGTGACCAATTGCATTAAGGATTTCCTAATGTCGAACTATCCATGCCCTTCTGCGAAAAAGCATTACTTGAGCATGGTGTTTTTTTCAATATATTTCCATGTTGACGTTAGTAGTGTTTTATTTAGAATTTTTCCTCTAAGCTATAAATGATACCAGTTTAAATTTTGTGTGCATTGTCAGGTATTATATCATGGTTATACCATCTTCACTAAATAAATTGGGAAGATTCTTATGTTTTTAATATTTTGGAACCGTTTAGATAGGAACCCATCTGCTACTTAGAAATTTTTGACTTTGTGACTTTTAAGAAGTAATTATGTTATTTATATTTTAATCGCTGTTTTTATTTCGCCCGTGGATATTGGTTTAGTCGGGTACCTCCTTCTAAGTCAACTGACCATGTTTATTGTAAATAGTGGTCCTACTTTATTTCCCCCTCATGCATGTGGTTATATTCCTTTCTCATTCCTAATGTGGGATATATAGAATCTCTCTCTCAATTATTTTTTTAAAGTGCTAAAAAAATTTTTTTTCTTTATTGATGTTAGAGAGAGAGGAAGAGAGAGGGAGAGAGAGAGAGAAACATTGATGAGAGAGAACATCTATTGGCCGCCTCCTGTATGCCCCACACTGGGGATTGGGCCACAACCTGAGCATGTGCCCTGACCAGAAAGTGAACCAGGACCTCTTGGTGCAGGGTTGATGCTCAACCACTAAGCCACACCATTTGGGCTCTCTCGCGATACTTTTGGTGAGACTCGCCATAATTTAGTGTATTTTATTGGTCTTTTCAAAGAGTACACTTTCAGGTTTAGCTATTTTAATGCATTCTAATTTATTAATTTCTATTTTGCCTTGATTAATTTTTCTTTTATAATTTTATTTTTTCTAAAGTACTTAGATATTCACATTTATTTTTATTTGGCTTTGCTTAAAATAAAAAGCATTTCAGACTCTCAGTTTATATGTTTAGTTATGTTCCATACATTATAATTTGTGGTGTTCTCATGAACACTATTTACTGAGTATGTAGTAATTCATTTTCATTTCCTCTTTGATCTAAGAGTTATTTGGATTTAATATGATCATTTTAAGTTTTTTAACTTTTTGTCCTTTTATTAGCAATTTTTAGTTTTGCTGCATTAAAGTCAGAAAATGTGAGCTATAAATGCTTTACTTAAGTTTTCTCTGTACTTTTTTTTTTTTTTTTTTATCCTCACCCGAGGACATTTTTCCATTTTTTGTTCAGATAGAGCGGGAGGGAGAGAGAGGAAGAGAGAGAGAGAGAAACATCGATGTGAAGGGACACATCGAGTGGCTGCCACCCACACGACCAACCAGGGCCGGGGACAAACTGCAACCGAGGTACGTGCCCTTAGCGGGAACCGAACCCGGGTCTCTCTGTACCGCAGGCCGACGCTCCAACCGCTGAGCCAAACCGGCCAGGGCGCTTTACTTAAGTTTTCTCTGTAGATTCGAATATAAAGCGATTGTAGTAGTCCCCTGTTGGAAACCTCACACATCTGAAATGTTTTTCTGTTGTTCTTTGCCTAGTACAGAATTTTGTAACATAATCTTTTCCCCTGAAAAACATAGATACTACTCCGTCTTCCTCTGACATTTATTGTAGTAGAGAAATCCAATGACTTCCACTATTATTTACTATCGTTATCTCTCCCTTTTATAACTTGTCTCTAAAATCATTGCTATGTGTATATTTTTCATCTTTTCTTCTGATTTACGGGAGCTTTCTTAAGATCATCTCTGTCATTGATTCCGTTTTCTGCAGGCTCTAACCTCAGGTCTCAGCTTTAGTTAGATTTTTACAATTTGATAATGACGGTTTTGATCTGAAAACAATCTCAGGAGAGACTTGCAATCATCTGTGAAATTTTCTCTTCTTTGAGGCAGTAACTCGTTCTTAGAGGCTCGTGTGCTTTGATCCCTTCCAGTGGTTCTCACCCTTCCCAATGCCACGACCCTTGGCTACAGCTCCTCATGCTGTCTGTGGGCGCACCTGCGTGTGGGCGGGCCGCCTGGAGAGGACAGAGGAGCGGTGTCTCAGTCCCTAAGGCCATCCGAAACATGTGTTTTCCGATGGTCTTAGGCGACCCAACCCACAGGTTGAGAACCGCTGCCTTAGACAGAAGTACCAAGTCACTCATAGACCAGATGGCCTTTCTGCTTCCTTATTTTTCACCAGGGATGGAGGAAGGGCAGCAAGAGTGTTTGCTCAGAGGCCTGGCGGCTGTGGAAACGCCTGCAGTCCGCCTGGCAGGCTGCTGTTCCCTAAGATGATGCCCCCCTCGGACTGCCTCCTCCCGCTCTGCCTCTCAGGACTCGCCTGTTCATGGATGCTCGGTGCTCTGATTTCCAGCACAGGCTCCGTCTGCCTCGGCGGACGATTGCTTTGGCGGGTTCCATGAGGACTGGGGCTGGCAGGAAGGCAGCCAGAGGCAGAGCTTTGAGGTGCAGCGAGAGGCTTAGCTTACCACGTGGAACCAAAAATCCACGACACGGATACTAATGAAAACTCTGGTGGTTTTCCATAAGCCCCCGTTTACAAAGAGGCATGCAAACGTCGGTCCCCATCCTTTGAAACAGTGTTGCACGCGTGAAAGTCTTCCTGCTTTACTTACTGTCTTTACCTTATTGCTCTTGTTTTGATTTACAGATGGGCGTCAGCAAGGAGTTCTATTTGTTCCCCATGGTGTTTGACGAGAACGAGAGTTTGCTCTTGGATGATAATATTAAGATGTTTACAACTGCATCCGATCAGGTGAATAAGGAAGATGCAGACTTCCAGGAATCTAACAAGATGCACTGTAAGTACTGCCTCTCCCACCACGGTTTCGAGTTATTTCAGGGCTGCCTATGGATGCTTTTAATTATACCCAAATCCCAACAGCTTTGCCTGTTGTTCAATTTCCAATAAATGATTAAATATAGTGAATGTGCTGCCATTGATTATTTATGTATTGGTCAATTCCTCCTCATTTCACTTAATTCAAAATAAAACATAGAAAATATGTCAATTAGATGCATGGTCCTTAGTATGTGACCAGCATCACTCAGGGCCCCAACCCTGACCTCTGGAATCAGAAAGTCTGGGTGTGGGGCCAGCAATCTGTGCTTAACACACTTTCCACGTGGTTCTGATCTACGCTCATTTGCTGCTTAGATGCTCTCCTCCTCGGTGGCTTAAGACTGACAGGTTCTTTTTATCATTTAATATGAAGAAAGATATGGTCTCTGCTCCCAGTACACTTCAATAAGTCTCACCCTTGATCTCACAGTAGAATCAATGGAGAACTTTCAAAAACTATTAAAGCTAAAAGGTTTGAGCCGGCGGGAGATCACATCCACAATGCAAGGCCAATGTAGAACAAAACAATTGTATTGCATACACCTGGGGGCAGGCAGGCTGTGCCCGAAAAAGGAGTCAGCCTCGAATAACGGGGTGTAGGTTATGTATTCTGCTTCTAGCTTCCAGCAGTTTCTGATGACGTACTCTGCATGGCCCATTGTCCACTTTGCAGTTGGACTGGTCTGGTAGCTCATTCTGCATCTGCTGGGTGATACATTGTCTTGTGCATAATCCAGATAATCCATACTCGACAGAAGGCTGAGCAAAGGTCTCGCAAGCAATGCATTTTTCACAGTTTTTGCCTTTTGCAAGCTTTTGCCTTTACCCTGTAAAACGTTATTGACCCTTTCAAAAGCTATTTTTAAAATGCTCAGAACAACTTCCAGAGGTTTTTATTTAATTGAAACCTGGCATCAGTCTTATGTTTAGCTCCCAGTGTAACTGAAATGCAGTTAGGGTTCAGAGGCAGTGAGCTAATTGTTTAAAAAAAAACACAAAACAAAACCCACACCACTAATGGACAACATGTGAAAATTATTGTAGCAAGAAAGAAAACTTGTCAAATTGTTTTATGAATTTAAAAAAATTGGGTTGATATTAGTCACATTACCCACAATCTTCAAAATATTTCTTTTGCCAAGACAGTGTAGCTCAGTGGTTGAGCATCAACCCATGCACTAAGAGGTCACCAGTTCAATTCCTAGTCAGGGCACATGCCCAGGTTGTGGGCCAAATCCCAGAGAGGGGCATGCAAGAGGCAGCCAATTAATGTTCTCTCTCATTAATGTTTCTATCTCTCTCTCTCCCTTTTTCTTTCTCTAAAATCAATAAAAAAATAAAATATTCCTTTTGATTAAGCCTTTTTGCATTTTGGAGGAGCCAAAGATACTATCTATTGAAAACGGTAGTGAGAGAAAACATCTGCAAATGCTCTTCCCTAGTAATTGAAGATGAATCAGAATTTTGTATCTAGAACAACAAACCTATTCCCAGTCCACAGTGCCCAGAAGAGCTGTTATTTCTCACATAGTTGGGTGTTCACAGTATGATCCTTGAGAGAACTGAGAAGTGACCAGCTGGAGAAAACAGTGAGATCCCCGGGACACAGAACTTCCGAGAGCCCTGCATTCAGCTCTGCTCCTTTGGCCCAGGGCTGCTCTGGAGGGCACATCAAGGAGTTGCAAAGATACTCCTGAGACAGAAAGGAGTGGAGAGGCCAGGATGGATCTTTTAAAAGTTAAATAAAGAAAGTTGGCTCTGGAAAGTCTAGGAAGTTGTCATGTAGTAGGACATAAGGTAAACTACTTTCATAGTGTTCTTTTCTACCTTTTACAGCCATGAATGGATTTATGTACGGGAATCAGCCTGGTCTCAGTATGTGCAAAGGAGAATTGGTCACGTGGTACTTATTCAGTGCTGGCAATGAGGCCGACGTCCACGGGATTTACTTTTCAGGAAACACATATCTGTCAAGAGAAGAAAGGAGGGACACGGCAAACCTCTTCCCTCAAACAAGCCTCACACTCACCATGCAGCCTGATACTAAAGGTGGATTTCTTTAAAGTCAAGATAAGTCTCTATTGGGTCAATTCTTGAAGTTTTGGTTTATAATCCTGTATTGGGTGATGAACTCACTCCTTCCCCAAGCCTCCCAAGTACCCTTCCTTGCCTTGGAAGAGCAAGACTGGGCCACTACCAGCTGTATGCCAGACAGGTCCGTTTCCTGTTTGTTGGTGGGAGGGAAGAGAGTGATCGAAGAGTAGACTGGGATTTATCCCATTTCCACAAAGCAGAATCCTTAACACATTCTCCTTCTATGTTATGGTCATTTTAAAGATAACTGGTGTAACCAAACCCAGGTTTGGCTGCCTGTCACAGAGAAAGCCAAACTCATGAGACAGGTGCTGGTGAAAAGGAAAGTAGTTTATTTAAGTGCTGGCTACCTGAGAGGATGAGGGACTTTTGTCCCTATGCCCATCTTAACAGCTCTGGTCAGGCTAGCAAATTGTATAGGGTTGAAAGATGGGGAGAGAAAGCTGACAGGCAGTGTGTATAGGCTGTGCAGGATGTTGTCCCGTAGGCCTTCATATGAATCTTTATGTCACCATTCTTGAGTTGGCCATCTGTTTGTTTGTTTTTGTCTGCTGAATTCCTGTCACTGGTGGTCAGCATCAGCCAGGGTCTTGAGGTCAACCTGCTTCCTAGGTTCACACAGGAATAAAAACTCATGAACCAAAAAGTATACTACTAAAAGAATGTTTAACATGCAAGCTCTATTTCAAGAGAAATATCAGGTTAGAGTAACAAGCTGGGTTTAACATTTATGAGTTGCTTTATATAGACTTTTTTATAGATTTGTTTTGTTCATTCTTATTTTAGTTCTATTCTATGGTTAGTCAGAGTAATATAAAGTTTTTATTCTCTGTCACACCGGCAAATCAGACTAGGCAGAGGAGGACTCCCTAAAGGCTCTGTACCTAAACTTCTCATCATTTCTGTAGCCTAGATGGAGAGTTCACTTGCCAATTGTTTGCAGTTGAATAATTATACTAGAACTATAACCATCCAAATTCAGTGACTCCTACAGGTTTGGCTCTGAATGAGGAAAACAAATGAAAATGAATGTGAAAAGATGCTAACTTGCTTCAGGTCCAGGTCACCTTTTCCTCTATTCATTACACAAGTGTAAATACAACAGTAAACAACAGAGATAAAGTGTCTGCTCTCATGGAGCTAACAAGTACTTTAAAGAATAAGGCAGGGGAAGAATGGTGACTGATGGGGGGAGGTAGGTAAAGTTTCTCTAAAGAGGTGACAATGAAAAAGGGGGTTGAATGAAATGAGTGCACTGAATCCTGTGGATATTTTGAAAAGAAATGTTCTGGGCAGAGGAAACAGCAAATGCAAATGCTCTGAGGCAGGTGCCCCCTTGACCTGAGGCTGGAGCAGAGTGAATAGTAGGCCATGTGATCAGAGGTGTAGGAAGCCCACTCATGTAACCCAGGTCACAGTAGGGACTCCGGTGTTGATTCTGAGTGACGTGAGCAGCCACAGAAGGTGCTGAGCAGAGGAGTGACATACTTTCTTATTTACCTTTCAAGGGACGTTTAATGTTGAGTGCCTCACAACTGATCACTACACAGGAGGCATGAAGCAAAAATACACTGTGAACCAATGCAGGAAGCTGTCTGAGAACCCAGACTTATATCTGGGGGAGAGGACCTACTACATCGCTGCAGTGGAGGTGGAATGGGATTACTCCCCAAACAGGAAATGGGAAAGGGAGCTGCATCGTTTACAAGAGCTAAGGTAATTCTCTAGACTCTGATTCCCGATTTTTCAGTTTCTCTTTCAGAGAAGACAGAATTTTGTTAGGTTGCAGTAAAACCAACAGTTGTATTAGACAATAACAACAAAATGCTTCCTAGGGGTTCTTCTGATTAATTTCAGCTTCTCTCGGTTTTCTTGTTGGAAAATTTCCATCTGTAGTTACTCTTGTTTCTTTCTTTTCTGTTGGACTGTCTTCTCACATTCACTTGACCTTGTCTTATCATTGATTTTCAAACTTACACCAAAATCAGTGCCTCAGATCAGAGCTAACATATTATTTTCCTTATCAATTATTTGCTGTTTACATTATCTTTCTGTTATCAGAGAAATGTGTGGATAGTCTCTCTCTTGCTAGTGGGAGTGGGATCCTTATACTATCACGAGAAAAAGAATGAGTAATCTTTATTTGCGTGGAATTGCATCTCTTGGTTTCCAAAGTCCATTTCCCTTAAACCAGCCCTGGGAGATCTGCAGCTGGGGATTCAGCAGAGCTAGAAGCAAAGCCAGAGTCCAGAGTCTCCTTTCCATGGTAGAGCTGCCTGTGGTGGAGCATCAGGCTAGATATGGTCCGTTAGTCCATTGTGTGGGGTCCACATGGCTGTGAGCCATGTGAGCGAATACAGGAGCATGACAGCCCTGCAAGCCAGGAGTACAAACCAGGAGCAAGAGAGCAAACTCCTTTGTTTAGGAGCTTAGGTATCTCAAGTCTTCCAGCACTGGCTGTGGCCACACCTACTCTGGCTAATGACCTGTTCCCAGGTGTGACAGAGAGGCACGCACCTTCCAGATGTCACCCAGACTTTACTGAGCATGCCTATACTATTTGGTCTTCCCTTTGTTCCTTTCCAGGTATTGAGTAACTGGATTAATTGCATTGGTGTCATTTTCTCCAAAGATTGTGTTATTAGCCTAGCCACCAGTTGTTTCACATTCTTAAAGCTATTATGTATGAAAGAAAACTTTAAATTCTTGAGGGCAGTATAGCCACTGTGGTCTCTGCCCTCCGACAGGTTACAGGAAAATATGGTTCAGAACCACCAATAACAAGTACATCACGGGAATGAAAAAATAAGTTCAGTCTGATTAGATAGAAGTTGAGGGGGTGGTTGGAGCCTCAGGAGCGCTGGTTAGAGCAGCGCCCCCACCTGGTGGTTAGTCCCCTCGCACTGTCCCGAGCACTTTCCCTCCATCATCTCCCACATCATGTGCCAGCCATTTGTGGGTGTGACTAGACAGGCTGAGTGGGCGAGTGTTCAGATCTGGGGTGCACACCGTGGCTCACCTGTAGCTACACAGCAGTTAGACGGTCAGTTTGACTGCAATGAGTATGATTTGAGGTATAAAGAAGTAAAAGGTTATTTCAGTGATTGGGGTAAAACAGTTGAAAGCCTACAGGAGCTATTCAGAGTCAATGAAAACTTTAGGTAAAGGAAACATCTGGAAAAACAGGCTACTTTAGTTCCTATAGACCAGAAACAATGTAGTATCCAGGGAACACTTTCTTGGTGAAATCCAGAGCCATAAAAGTTTTTTTTTTTTTCTCTCTCTCTCTCTCTTTTTTCTTATTTTATTTTTGTTACAGATGTTTCTCTTTTTTTTACCCCATTGACGCCCTCTGCCCCATACCCCCACCCTGTCCCTGGCTTTGTTGTCCATCTCCATTGGTTATGCATACATGCATATAACTTCTGTGGTTTATCTCTTCCCTCTCCACACTACCCCCTCTTCTGAGGGTTGTCAGTCTATACCCTACTTCCACGTCTCTGGGTGTACCCTATTCCTCAGACTGTTATGTTCATTATATTCCACAAATAAGTGAGATCATGTGGTATTTTTCTTTTTCTGCACGGCTTGTTTCGCTTAGGATAATACTTTCCAGGTCCCTCCATGTCATCTCAAAGGATAAGAGATCTTTCTTTCTTAAAGCTGTGTAGTACTCCATTGTGTATATGTACCACTGCTTTTTTACCCACTCGTCTACTGATGGATACTTGGGCTGTTTCCAGATCTTTGCTATTGTAAATAGTGCTGCTATGAACATGGGGGTACATATATTCTTTCTGATTGGTGTTTCAGGCTTCTTAGGGTATATTCCTAGAAATAGGATCACTGGGTCAAATGGCAATTCAATTTTTAATTTTTTGAGGTAACACCATATTGTTTTCCATAGTGGCTGCACCAGTCTGCATTCCCACCAGCAGTGTACTAGAGTCCCCTTTTCTCCACACCCTCGCCAACACTTGTTTGATGATTTGTTAATGGTGGCCAACATGACAAGTGTGAGGTGATACCTCCTTAATTTGCATCTCTCTGATGATTAGTGATGTTGAGCATTTCTTCATATGTCTCTTGGCCATTTGTATATCCTGTTTGGAGAGGTGTCTATTCAGCTCCTCTGCCCATTTTTTAATTGGGTTCTTTGTCTTCCTTTTGTTGAGCTGTTTGAGTACTCTATATATATATATTGGAAATTAACCCCTTATCTGATATATCATTGGGAATGATGCTCTCCCATAAAGTGGGTTGCCTCTCCATTTTGATGGTTGTTTTTTTTTTTTTTTGCTGTGCAGATGCTTTTTAGTTTGATGTAGTCCCATGTGTTCATTTTCTCCTTTGTTTCTGTTGCCTTAGGTGATGTATCAGTGAAAATTCTGCTGCGTATGATGTCTGAAATTTTGTTACCTACATTTTCTTCTAGGATTTTTATGGATTCATGTGTCACATTTAAGTCTTTTATCCATTTTGAGTTTATTTTTGTGTGTGGTGTAAGCTGATGGTCTAGTTTAATTTTTTTTGCATGTAGCTGTCCAATTTTCCCAACACCATTTATTAAAGAGGCTGTCTTTACTCCATTGTATGTCTTGCCTCCTTTGTCAAATATTAATTGAGTATAATGTCTTAGGTCCATTTCTGGGTTCTCTGTTCTGTTCCACTGGTCTATATGCCTGTTCTTGTGCAGTACCAGGCTGTTTTGGTTACAGTAGCTTTGTAGTATAACCTGATATCCAGTATTGTGATCCCACCTACTTTGTCCTTCTTTTTCAAGATTGTTGTGGCTATTTGGGGTCTTTTTTGGTTTCATATAAACTTTTGAAGTATTTGTTCTAGTTCTGTGAAATATGTCATTGGTATTTTGATGGGGATTTCATTGAATCTATAGATTGCTTTGGGTAGTGTGGACATTTTAATGACGTTAATTCTTTCAATCCATAAACAAGGTATGTGCTTCCACTTTTTTATATCTTCCTCTATTTCTTTTTTCAATGACGTGTAGTTTTCTGCAAATAGGTCCTTTACTTCTTTGGTTAAGTTTATTCCTAGGTATCTTAATTTTTTTGCTGTGATGGTAAATGGGATTGTTTTTTCAGTTTCTCTTTCTGTGAGTTCATCATTGGTGTATAAGAATGCCATCAATTTCTTGACGTTAATTTTGTGTCTTGCTACTTTGCCAAATTCATTTATTGAGTCTAGTAGATTTTTTTTTTTTTATCCTCATTCGAGGATATTTTTCCATTTTTTGTACAGATAGAGTGGGAGGGAGAGAGAGGAAGGGAGAGAGAGAGAGAAACATTGACGTGAAGGGACACATCGAATGGCTGCCACCCACATGACCAACCAGGGCCAGGGACAAACTGCAACCGAAGTACGTGCCCTTAGCAGGAACAGAACCCGGGTCTCTCCGGACCGCAGGCTGATGCTCTAACCGCTGAGCCAAACCGGCCAGGGCGAGTCTAGTAGATTTTTGATGGGGTCTTTGGGGTTTTCTATTTATAATATCATGTCATCTGCAAATAATGACAGTTTCACTTCCTCCTTTCCAATTTGGATCCATTTTATTTTTTCTTCCTGTCTGATTGCTGTGGCTAAGACATCCAGTACCATGTTAAATAAGAGTGGTGAAAGTGGACATCCCTGTCTTGTTCCTGTTCTTAAGAGAAATGCTTTTAATTTTTGCACATCGAGTATGATGTTGGCTGTAGGTCTTTCATATATGACCTTTAGTATGTCAAGATATTATCCATCTATTCCCAGATTGCTGAGTGTTGTTATCAGAAATGGATGCTGGATTTTGTCAAATGCTTTTTCGACATCTATTGATATAATCATGTGGTTTTTATTCTTCATTTTATTTATGTGGTGTATCACATTTATTGATTTGTGAATATTGTACCAGCCTTGCATCTCTGGAATGTATCCCACATGATCATGGTGAATAATTTTTTTGATGTAGTGCTGGATTTGATTTGCTAGTATTTTGTTTAGGATTTTGGCATCTATGTTCATCAGGGATATTAGCCTGTAGTTTTCTTTCTTTGTAGTGTCTTTTTCTGGTTTTGGAATTAGAATTATGCTGGCCTCATAAAACGAGTTTGGAAGTCTTCCTTCTTCTTGAACTTTTTGAAATAGTTTGAGGAGAATGGGTGTTAGTTCTTTTTTGAATGTTTGGTAAAACTCCCCTGTGAAGCCATCCAGGCCTGGGCTTTTGTTTGCTGGGAAAGTCTTGATTACATCTTCAATTGCCTTAGTTGTTATTGGTCTGTTCAAGTTTTCTATCTCTTCCATGTCCAGTTTTCAGAGACTATGTGTATGTAGAAATTTGTCCATTTCGCTTAGATTATTGAATTTGTTGCCATATAAATGTTCATAGTTGTTAACAATCCTTTGTATTTCTGTGGTGTCAGTTGTGACTTCTCCTCTTTCATTTCTGATTTTGTATATTTGGGTTCTCTCTGTGTTTCTTGGTGAGTCCAGCTAAAGGTCCATCAATCTTGTTTATCTTTTTGAAAAACCAGCTCTTTGTTTCATTGATCCTTTGAATTGCTTTTTTTTTGGTCTCTATGTCATTTTTTCTGCTCTGATCTTTACTATTTCCTTCCTTTTACTTGCTCTGGGTTATTTTGTTTGTTTGTTTGTTTTCTAGTTTTTTAAGTTGTGAGGTTAGATAGTCTATTAGAAATTTTTCTTGTTTCTTGACCTAGGCCTGTAGTGCTATGAACTTCCCTCTCAGAACTGCTTTCACTGCATCTCATAGATTTTGTGTTGTTGTGTGTTCATTTTCATTGGTTTCCAGGAAGTTTTTAATTTCTTCCTTGATCTCCTCGGTAACCCATTCGTTGTTCAATAACATGCTATTTAGCCTTCATGTATGTGTTCAAGTGTCTTTGCATGTTCTTGTTGCAATTGATTTTTAGTTTTATGCCATTGTGATCTCAGAAGATGCTTGATATGATTCCAATTGTCTTGAACTTGTAGAGACTTAGTTTGTGTCCTAACATGTGGTCTATTTTTGAGAATGTCCCATATGCACTTTAGAAGAATGTGAATTCTGCAGTTTTGGGGTGTAGTTCTCTGTAGATATCTATTAAATCCATTTGGTCCAGTGCTTCATTTAGAGTCTCTGTTTGCTTGCTAATTTTTTGTCTAGAAGATCTACCCAGGGATGTCAGCAGAGTGTTGAAGTCCCTTGGTATGATTGTATTGCTATAGATTTCTCCTTTGAAGTCCTCTAGAATATGTTTAATATATGTTGGTGCTTCTATATTGGGTGCATATATGTTTACCAAGGCTATATCTTTCTGTTGGATAGATTCTTTCAATATTATGTAGTGGCCTTCTTTGTCTCTAGTTATAGCCTTCATTTTGAAGTCTACTTTATCAGATATGAGTATTGCTACCCCAGTTTTTTTTTTTTTTTTTATCCTCACCCGAGGATATTTTTTCATTTTTTGTACAGATAGAATGGGAGGGAGAAAGAGTGAGAAACATCGATGTGAAGGGACACATCGAGTGGCTGCCACCCGCATGACCAACCAGGGCCGAGGACAAACTGCAACCGAAGTACGTGCCCTTAGCGGGAACTGAACCCGGGTCTCTCCGGACCGCAGGCCGACGCTCTAACCGCTAAGCCAAACTGGCCAGGGCGCTACCCCAGTTTTTTTTCCCTTTCCGTTTGCTTGGAAGATTTTTTTTCATCCCTTCACTTTCAACCTCTGTGATTCTTTGTTGTGAGGTGGGTGTCTTATAAACAGCATATATATGAGTCATGCTTTCTTATCCAGTCAGCTATTCTGTATCTCTTTATTGGAGCATTCAATCCATGTACATTTAAGGTGATTATTGATATGTACTTTTTTTTTTTTTTGTCTGGGAAGCTCTTTATTTGACCTTCTATTTTGAATGATAGCCTTTCTGGGTAGAGTAGTATTGGATTCAGATTCTTGTTTTTCATGACCTTGATTACCTCATGCCATTCCCTTCTGTCCTTTAGTGTTTCTGTTGAGAAGTCAGCTGAGAACCTTATGGGGTTTCCTTTGTAGGTAATCTGTTGCTTATCTCTTTGCTGCCTTTAGGATTCTCTCTTTGTCTTTAAATTTTGGCATTTTAATTACTATGTGTCTTGATGTGGGCCTGTTAGGGTTCTTCTTACTTGGGGCTCTCTGAGCTTCTTGAACTTGAATGCCTTCTTCCTTCATCAAATTAGGGAAGTTTTCTGTCACTATTTCTTCAAATATATTCTCTAACCCTTGCTCATTTTCTTCTTCTTCGGGGAGTCCTATGATGCGAATATTATTGCGTTTCCAGTTGTCCCACAGTTCTCTTAACCTGTCTTCCTGGGGTTTTTTTCATTGTTTTTTCCTTTTGGTTTTCTGATTGGTTGATTTTTTTTCTACCCTGTCTTCTAATTCACTGATCCAGTCCTCAGCTTTCTCTACTCTGCTGTTTAGCCCTTCCAATGTGTTCTTAATGTCTGATATGTCATTCTTCATTTCTTCTTGGTGGTTTTTAATTTCCAATTGGTTGCTTTTCAACATTTCTATTTCTTTACTTATGGTGTTGATGTCCTTACTCATGCTGTTGAGCTTCTTCAAGATCATGGCTCTGAATTCTAGCTCTGTTAACTTACTTAACTGCTCCTCATTTATCTATTGTTCAGTAGAGGTCTCTTGTTCTTACATTTGGCATTTGTGTTTTTTTTTTTGTTTCACCATTTTTGCTATCACAGTGGGCTTTGGAGCCTACCAACTTTTCCCTGTGGGTGTTGGTGTTCTGCTGTTTGTGGCTCCCTCTCCTGGGTTTGGATGAGCAAGGGAGGACCCACATTAAACACCACTGTCAAGTCCTACTTTCCTGGTTAGAGTTGCTAGCCCAGGAATGGTTCAGTTATCCTCTAGCTTTTTTCTTGAAGGCTATCAGTAGCGGTTACTTGAAGAGCCTTGGGTTCTAAGTTGAATGAAAAACTCCCTCAGGTGCTCAGGGTAAGGGGATTTCCTGAGGGTGAGACAGATGCTAGTTGTTAATGAGCCTCAATTTGCATTCAATGGTAGGGTTGAATCTTTGAGGGATGGGTTGAATCTTTGAGGGATGGGTTGCCGCCTCTCTCCAGAGCCTTGGGAAGGAGTATGATGGCCACAGTCCTGCATGGCTGCATCTCAGCAAAAACTCTGAGCCCCCTCCAAATCCCAAGTGTCCCCACACCGTTCCAGTTTAGTCTGCCCTCCCTCTGCCAGAGCCCAAGGTGAGTGGCTGTGGCTATTTTAGCATCTGTCCCGGCTCTGCACTGTGGAGCCACTTGGGAGTGTAACCCAAGAGTGCTGCTCACAGCTAAGAGCGCTGCTGTCCATGGGATCCCAGCCCCCCTCTTGCACCTCTGCAATCCTACCAAGATCGAGTCAGTGTCCCTGGTTATATGATCCTCGCTAGCTGCTTTTTTGTTGCATTTCCCCGACGATTTGTCTTTATTTTAGTTGTAATTCCAGTGTGGTCCTGGGAGATGGCCTGTGTAGCTTCCATTCACTCTGCCACCATTTATGGAATTTCCAGAGCCATAAAAGTTTAGAGCGATAAATGACCCCTGCAGGTGACCTCCTCTAATACCTCATTTGAGGGGAGTTGAAACTGAGCCTCCGATTGGCTGGAGGTCATTTCAGGGCAGAGTCAGGGCCAGGACCCATGGCACCACTTGTCGCGGGGGCATTGTCGACCACCCGTGCCCATTTATAAAGTCTGGCTGGCACAGGAGATCGGTATTGAAAACCAGTGTAACTACTTAAATAAAACCTGTATTGTTTTTTTCAAAATTTAATATTTAAAACTCAACTTTCACTTTCATTAAGACAAATACTAACTTAGTTGTGTGTGTGTGTTTTTTTTAAGTGACTTGAATAATGCGTTTTTAGATAAGGGTGAGTTTTACATCGGCTCCAAGTATAAGAAAGTCGTGTACCGGCAATACACTGATGGCACCTTCCGAGTTCCAGTGGAGAGAACAGCTGAAGAAGAACATCTGGGCATTCTAGGTACCCTAACAACTCCCGTTCCTCGGGGGGCGGGGGGCTGGCAGTGTGCTGTGTGAGCCCTGACACTCCATGTCCAGGGGTCTAACTGTCTCAGTTCAGGTACCAAAGTTATTTAAACAAAAATAGGAAGTTCTTCTAGTTGCTATATGGGAAGCTGCCCAATTAATGAATCACTCAGTAAAGCCAATTAGATCTTCAAACAATAAAAGGTTACTCAAAAAATGCCCTGGCCAGTTTTGCTCAGTGGTTAGAGCGTCAGCCTGTGGTCCAGAGAGACCGGGGTTCGGTTCCCGCTAAGGGCATGTACCTCGGTTGCAGTTTGTCCCTGGCCCTGGTTGGGTTGTGCAGGTGGCAGCCACTTGATGTGTCCCTTTCACGTCGATGTCTCTCTCTCTCTCTTCCTTTCTCTCCCTCCCACTCTATCTGAACAAAAAAACAAAAAAAAAATATCCTCGGGTGAGGATAAAATAAAAAGTTACTAAAAAAAAATAGAAGCCTATGAATATGGCATAATAAAATATTATTTATTTGTGTCAGAAATAATATATTATCCCATATACTAATGAAGTCATATATATTTGGTATATATCAAACTGATAGTTGGAGTTTTGGTGAAATTCCTTTATTTCACTAGAAATTTACTTTCTAGTGAAATTCTTAACCAGATTCTCCGTTATTCTCCCATCAGTCCAAAAATCATAGGTTGTTTTTTTTTTTAATCCTCACCTGAGGATTTTTTTAAAAATATATCTTCAGACAGAGTGGGAGGGAGAGAAAGGGAGAGAAACATCGACGTGAGAGAGACACGTTGACTGGTTGCCTCCTACAGGACCCCAACCAGGACTGGGGACAAACCGCAACAGAGGAACGTGCCCTTGACTGGAATCAAACCCGTGACTCATTGGTCCGCGGGCCAAGGCTCTAACCACTGAACAAGCCAGGGCCATAGCTATTTACTTTTAAAATTAAGATGTAAATTATTAACTCCAAGGGGGGAGCAATATATATATGTGTGTGTGTATATATATATGGAAAGAAAAAAGTGTTACTGTGCACAAGGCGGGGGAAAATTTCCTTCCATTTTCCAGGAATCGTTTTAAGACAGAATGTTTAAAAACTTGACCAACACTTGTCTCGGGACTGTCCTCGAAAACCGCCCAGTGCAGGGGACACCACTCCCAACCCTGCTCTGCTTTCATACTGTCCGGGGTCCCTGGGGCTTGGTCATCCTCAGCCCCCTGAGAAAGACACCCAAGGGAGAATGCAGCGTGGCCGGGTCCCGGGAACCTCCCGGGCAGGAAACACGCTGCCACCGTCTGCAGAGGAGAAACGGGAGGGCAGCCCACCCCACCTTCCCACGCAGGGCTGCTGCCTTTCTCCACTCACACCAGGACCTTCTGCGAGTCCACATGCTGAGGTCGGTGACCAGGGACGGGTCACCGCTGACCCACCAGCATTAAGCCACTAGCTGCAGGGGACTTTCAGGGCCCAACCCCAGAGGACTCGAGACAAGAGCTGCACAGTTCTGTGTTGTTGTCCTAGCCTCTGGAAGCAGGTCTAACCCGAGAGCACACAGCGCGGAGCCACGGGAGGTCAAGCGGGCTGGCCTTAGGGCTCCGGCGGGACTCCGTTACTGTTGGAACACCCACGCTTCCTCTTCACTCCCGCCAGGCCCGCAGCTTCATGCAGACGTTGGAGACAAAGTGACCATCATCTTTAAAAACATGGCCACAAGGCCCTACTCCATACACGCCCACGGGGTGAAAACGAAGAGTTCTACCGTCACTCCAACCTTCCCAGGTACTCGCGGGGCAGGAGGGGGGGGGTGCACCAGATGTTACAGCTTTTCCACAAATGACTTATCAGAGAGGTGCTCCCTCCAAATGAGTGTGCCTCGCGTGAGTGAAGGAGCTGGTCCGGAGGGGACAAGGGAAGTGTGTGTGCGGGTGTGGACGACTGCATGTCCCATCAGCAAGTCCCAGCAGCGAAAGGAATGCTGATGGGTGCTGGACACCTACAGATCCCCAGGTGTGAGTCAGGGAGATGCTCCCCACGCGCAGCCAGGACACCCCAGACACCACCGACCGCCCTGACGTGGCCGAGTGTGTCCCTGCCTGTGTGTGAGGACAGATCCCAGGGACAGAGGAGCCCCTTGAGGTTGTAACTCTCCAGTATCTAATCCACTAGCCGGCATGTACTAAGAACTCAACACGTGTTTAACAGAGTAGTAAAAGCTGAAATAGCTTAAATACAGGGTGTAGGTTCTTTCATAAAATGGTATTTTTCATCTCTTTGTTGAAAAGTTGGCTTCTGGGAAGGGACCATTTCCCTGTCATCCCATGGTTCCCAAGCACAGGGTGGACAGAAGGAGGTTTGTATGGAAAATAATCCAGTAATTGATGAACAGTAATACAAGAAAAAGCTCTGTTTCACATACTCACAACTATTTATCAAGTGAGAAACAACTCCTTGGAGGGGAGCAGAAACGAAAAGCCTTGCCCTCCTTCTTCCTCAGGAGGTGCACAACAAATAAATACAAGATCAGTTATAAAGCGTGCTATAAACATAGTGAGGCAGATGAGAGAGAGTAACAATGGGACCATTTTAGGTAGGGTCGTCAGGAGGGCTTCTTGGAGGAGGCGCCCCGGTGAAGACACCGAGGGGATGAGAAGTAAGGGTCCCCTTGTTGGGAAGTTGTGTGGGAAGAGCACTCTAGGTCCGAGATGGGAGGGGCCTTGGTGTGTGTGAGGGACAGCGAGGCGACCAGAGGCCAGAGCAGAGCAAACGGGAGACTGAAGAGGTGAGAGGCAGGGAGGGCAGGGGCCAGACGCAGGCGGGAGGGGACTCAGAGGCCGTGGTCACAACCTTAGGTTTTATTCAAAAAGCCCTGTGAGCTGGAGAGTGCTGATCCCACGACCCCTGTCCAAGGACCGTCTGGCTGGCATGTGGATTGGTGACTGTAGGGGACAAGGGCAGAAGCAAGGGTCGGTCCGTTAGGGGGCTGTCGCAGTAACCTGGGGATCAAACAAAACTTGGACCAGCTTAGAAACAGCCGAAGTGGTGAGCTGCTGTGCCCTGGTTGTAGCGTAAAGGTGGTGTAGGGGGACCTGCTGAAAGGCTGGCACTAGGGAAGGTTGGGGAGAAGGAGCAGCCAGGGCAGCTGGTCACAGCAGGTGCGGTGGGGAATAGAGAAGGAATCTCCATCCTCAGCCCATGAAATGTGTAGATGAAGAGACTGCACTCAGGAGCCATGAGCACGTCCTCTCGGTGAGCCGTTCCGCTACGCGGGGCTGAGGACTAGGAGCAGGAAAGAGGGAGGCGTGGGGAGGAACCGTCTGTCTCCCACACCCCTGGAGCCCACCCTCACGGTCTGCCATCCCCGGACGAGGGTGTCAGACTCCGGCTGACTGGGGCCCAACAGCACAAGCTCCTGACGGGGGTCTGCGGACACGGAGGGACATGGCTCAGGCCTGAACGCCGAGGCCTCGTGAGGGGTTGTGCAGGAGCCCGGGGTGACCGGGAGCCGAGGCTCAAACGGACGAGGGTACAGGCCTTCGCAAGACAGGAGGGTGAAGCGACTGGCCATCTTCAGAGTGTCAAGGCCCGGGGTGTGGTCCTGTGGGTGACAGAGCTGTGACCACACAAACAGAATGGGACCAGCTAGAGAGGTCAGTGAGCCACAGGTCAAGGTGCGATGACCCTTGCCTGGGTATTGTGAGGTCGCCGAGGAAAACGGTACAGAGGAGAAAAGAAGGCCAGGGGAGCTGGGGGCATGGCGCAGGTGGTCCAAATACAGACACAGGAGACCCGGGGGAAGGGGACGTCACCTGACAGCTTGAGGACAAAGCGGAGCAGAGAAACATACTTCAAGCTAAGAAGGGATGGGCTGCAACGTTCCTTCACGTAATGTTGGAATCGCCACTGGTACTGAACAGTCAAGGGGTTTGATGTCCTTCTGGTATAGAGAGGTCAAAGTCTGAGGCAAGAGTTTTCCCAGAAAAAAATAGACGTATTCATCGGGCAGCCGGACAGGGAGGCAGGAGGGAAGGCTCAGTCTCCCTCGGACAAAGGCTTGGAGTAAATTTAGACAATGAGGTCAGGAGGAGCTATACATATTGATGAATTCTAATTCCAGGCTCAGCCTGGATGGTCCCGGGTCCGAGTTATCTGAGGAAGGGATGGAGAGTGTGAGAGGAAGTGTGCAGAAATTGCACGTTGGCAGGTTCCGACTGCGCGAGATGGAGGCGCCCTTGCTCGCGGACCTGGTGGGCACGGTGCCCGGCAGGAGCTCGTTGGGTTCTGGCCACCCGTACGACTCCGCCGGAGCTCATCTGTCACCTTCCTGCCCCACTCAAGCCTCTGGGCCAGTCTGACCTGGCTGGTCTGGTGGCACCGGACCTGGGAGGCTGCTGGGCTTTCCGGAAAGCCAGAACGGCCGGAGGGGAAGGCCGTGAGGTCCGGTTCGGTGCTCGGCCCGATTTCACCACCTCCTGCCCACGTGGTGCCCAGTTAACTCGGAACTGATGAGATAGAACGTGTACCTCACAGTGTGTCTTAGCTACATTCCGGAAAACAATTTCGAGTACCGTTACTTTTTAAATCTAATTTCCTTCACATTCCAGTTTCTGCATCATCGGTTATCAAGACTTAGCATGTACGTGTGTGAGTGTATGTATGTGTGTGTGTGTGTGTGCATATGCATGTGTGTGGTTTACATATATGTATATGTGTATGCATATGTATACTTGTGGTGTATATGTGTGTGCATATATGTATGTGTGTGCGTATGTGCATGTGTATGTGTGTATATGTATGTGTGCATGTATGTTTGTGTGTGTATGCATGTGTGCATATGTATATATGTGTATATGTGTGTGCATATGTGTATATGTGTGTATATGTATATGTGTGATGTATATGTGTGTATATGTATATGTGTGTGCGTATGTATATGTGTGTATGTGTATGTACGTATGTGTGTTACGTATGTGTGTGTGTGTGTGTGCATATGTACCACATATAACAGATGCATTAACACTTGCCTAATTTAGGTGAAACTCACACTTACCTGTGGAAAATCCCAGAAAGATCTGGAGCTGGAACAGAGGATTCCGCTTGTATCCCATGGGCCTACTACTCAACTGTGGATCAAGTTAAGGTAAACCTTAAATCACCTGTGTCCTGTGAAAAGTCCCAAAACAAACACACAGCATAAGGAAGACGAGGTTAGTTTTCCTGTGGTCCAATTCTATGGTGAGTTCCCAGAAAAGTAAACTGCTCTGAAATTCACCTTGGTTTCTTTTTTTGTTTGTTGTTTTTTTTTTTATCTTCACTCGAGCACATTTTTCCATTTTTTGTTCAGATAGAGCGGGAGGGAGAGAGAGGAAGAGAGAGAAACATCGATGTGAAAGGGAGTGGCTGCCACCCGCACGACCCAACCAGGGCCGGGGACAGACCGCAACCGAGGTACATGCCCTTAGCAGGAACCAACCCCAGTCTCTCTGGATCTCAGGCCGATACTCTAACTGCTGAGCCAAACCAGCCAGGGCTTTTTGTTTGTTTTTAAGGATACAGCTCTATGACTGCTGATTATGGATAACACAGATTTAAATATTAAATACAGTATTTTTTTCTTCTTTCATATCAAAATACATCAGACACAAAGAACTGAAGCACCTGAATCCAGAGCTCTCTTATTACATAATAAAAATGCTGAGCATCGACCCTGCACCAGGAGGTCACCGGTTTGATTCCTGGTCAGGACACATGCCCAGGTTGTGGGACCGATCCCCAGTGGGGGGCGTGCAGGAGGCGGCCAATTGATGTTCTCTCTCACCAGTTTCTCTCTCTCTCTCCTTCTCCCTCTCCCTTCCTCTCTCTCTAAAGTCAATAAAGAAAAAAATTTTTTTTTAAATGCTGACCTCACCAGTCAATCACAGCACAACGAAGGCTGCTGTTTGTTTAAATATTTCAAAGTCAACAGAAACGCTCAACAGTGATAAATCAGGACAGGTCCCAGATTCTTCCGTAGACTTGCATCTCTAGTGGAAATATTTCTCCTGCGCTCTAGACTTATCTGCACACCTGCCAACTGACCACGAGCGTGTCACAGGCGCTGGAAACTCAGCAACTCTAAAAGGGAAATCGCGGTCGTCCCTGCCTCCTCCTGTATTTCCCGCTGTAACGGAACCATAAGTACCCAACCGACTCAGCTGTTCAAGCTCGAACCCTGGACATGAAGTATCTAATGCTCCCCTCAGAGCAGTGGTTCTCAACCTTCCTGACGCCGCGACCACTGAATACAGCTCCTCATGCTGTGGCGACCCCCAACCATAAAATTATTTTCGTCGCTACTTCATAACTGCAATTCTGCCACTGTTATATCTTAGGCGACCCCTGTGAAAGGGTCGTTTGACCCCCAGAGGGGTCGCGACCCACAGTTTGAGAACAGCTGCTGTAGGTCAACGGGGAAATGCAGCCACTCACACAGGACCAGCCCCTCCTTCCCCCGTCTCCGCAGACCAGGCCCTTGTGACTTGCCCCCACTACTGCGGTGGCCTCCCCGTCTCCAGGCTGTCCCCACTCCAATCCTTCCTTCCTTCCCGCCACACCAGGATGACTGATCTAAAATGCAAATACACTGCCATTCCGTGTTCAGTGTTTCAGTGGCTACCTATGTTCCACGAGACAAAATCTGAAATTCCTGAACACGATGCAACACAAAGGTCCTTCAGGACATAACCTGCCACTGCTAATGCCCAGCCAAGCTAAGCTTCTCACAGGCTGTCGGCTGAGGTCTTCCTCCTCCGTGTTCATCAGCAGTGCACGTACCTCCACCGTAGAGGTGGCCCATCTCTTCTCTTCCTCCATTTCCCTGCCGGACTGAGCTCTGGTGGGCAGGGGCTTTACACGATTCATCTCTGGATTTTCGGTGACTGCCATAGCGCTTGGCTTACGAAACGGGCAAACCAACACTGTTCACTTTGGGTTCTTTAAATCGCTGCTCATTGGCTGAGCCAATATTTGGCCTCTGCACCCATACAACCTACCTGCAACTCACCCTTGTTCCGGCTTAATGGCTTCAGGTGGAAAGTCACTGACTTCACCACACCACATTGGGTTTTACTGCCTACATCAGTCCTCCCGAAATCCCTCGGTCCCCGAGTTCTCTGAAATCCTGACCTCTATCCCAAGGATGACTGACGTTTTTGCTTCTTTTCAGGATCTCTATAGTGGATTAATTGGCCCACTGATTGTTTGTCGGAAGCATTACTTGAAAGTATTCAATCCCATAAAGAAACTGGAATTTTCCCTTCTGTTTTTAGTTTTTGATGAGAATGAATCTTGGTACTTAGATGACAACATCAAAACATACTCTGATCACCCCGAGAAAGTAAACAAGGAGAGTGATGACTTTATAGAAAGCAATAAAATGCACGGTATGATACGTTCTTCTAGAACCTTTTTCTTCCTACTTTCAAGTCATTATTTTACTAGTATTTGCTTCGTTTTATCATGAAGCGCAACCTCTTCCCTTTGCAAGGGAGAACCCTGCTCACAGCAAAAAGGGGACTATATTCAAAATCATCTGTGAACTTCTCCCACACTTCTAGTGTCTCATTCCCTTTTAAATACACTCAAAATTAAGATTAAGGCTTTTGGGGCTAAGTGACTAGAGAAACAGTGTGACATTACTGAACTTGAAGTATGCACTTGTCATGAAATAACTTCAATGATCTCAAATAAGACCCCATTCATGACTCTAATAATCATGTTTTCTGTGGAATAGCTGTTGGTTTAAAACATCCTGAAAGGGCCTGGCCGGTGTGGCTCAGTGGTTGAGCATCGACCCTGCACCAAGAGGTCGCTGGTTCGATTCCCGGTCAGGGCACATGCCCAGGTTGTGGGCCAAATCTCCAGTAGGGGGCGTGCAGGAGGCAGTCAGTCGATGTTCTCTCTCATCAGTGTTTCTATCTCTCTCTCCCTCTCCTTTCCTCTCTCTCTAAAAATGAATAAAGAAAAAGAAATTTTTTTGTTTGTTTAAATCAAACATCCTGGAAGGTAACATGAAAACCACGTGCTCTCCCCAGCCATCAATGGAAGAATGTTTGGGAACCTGCAGGGCCTCACAATGCACCAGGGAGATGAAGTCAGCTGGTACCTGATGGGCATGGGCAACGAGATAGACCTGCACTCGGTCCATTTCCACGGCCACAGCTTCCGATACAAGGTAAGCGCCGTCCACGGCCGCTCTTCTCGCTCCATTTGAACACGTTTTCGTACAAATACAGAAACTATTTCCCCAGCCCGACCGATGAACCGTTGAACGTTTCGAGAGGTAGCTGTTTTCTTAAGCGGGTGGCACGCAGCACTGCCAACCTGTTTCACTTGTGGCTCGTCCTGGGAGTTTCAGTTCCTGCTGGATTTCCGTGGGGTTCTGCTCACATGGTCCTGGGCAGGGCGCTTGAACAGAGGCGCCGGCAGAGAGCGTAGGAATGTTTCCTTGTGTAACACAAGTGCTTTGATCTAAAGGCAAAGCGGAGTCGAAGTGGCAGAGGTAAGACGGTCCTGCTTGGCGGACTTCACCACCTCTCTCCTCCACTCACCGGATGGCCCACCGTGCCCCGGCTTTAGCAGGAACTCAAGACCACAAATCTCAGTTTGTATTAAACATAGAAATAGATAGGAGCTCCTATTTTTTTTTTTTAAACAGATCCATTTTTCTAATATCCCTGACCCAGCCAATGAAAAATTATCTGAATGAATCCTCACATATAACAAACGCTATACAAATGTCACTTTTCTAATTAAGCACAGGGGCGTCTATAGTTCTGACGTCTTTGACATTTTCCCTGGGACATACCAAACCCTGGAAATGTCGCCAAGGATACCTGGAGTCTGGTTGCTGCACTGCCATGTGACTGACCACATTCACGCCGGAATGGAGACCACGTACACGGTCCTGCCAAAGGAAGGTGAGGGCCCCATTACCGCCTCGGAGCTCACAGATCGCGGATAGAATTATGTGCACTACTCTGCCTACATGCTCCCCCAGTCGAAGCATTTGTGAATTTCCTGTTCTTTCTTCCTTCTCTACCTCTGAACGGGATTTATTTTATTTATTTTTTTACTGCTAAATGGTATGGGTCAGTTCTAAACCCAGCACCAGTACCCTAAGCTCGTATAAATTAACACCAATTAGATGCAGTGTAATTATACTGAAAACGGATATAAATGAGCAGTCATATTATTTATAAAGAAACTGAGCATGGCTTACACATTTAATGTCTTTCCTAAAAGAAAAGATTAACTTTTTTTTTCTAGGTAGTGTCTGGTACACAAAAAAGCACCCCTCCCCCCCAAAATTCCCAAATAATCAATATCATTTCAAATACTCCCCCAGGCAGAACAGTTCTCTCTCGATTCTGGGGGGAGGGGTCTAATGCTGACTACTGTTTGGGAGAGATGCTTAGTCCATTTGGGCTGCTGCAACAACACAAAACTGAGCTTCCGAGGGGCGGAAATGCATCCCGCGGTTCTGGAGGCTGTGTCTGGGGTCAGGGTGCAGCGTGGTTGGGGGCGGCCCTTTTCCAGGGTGCAGACTTCTTACTGAACCCTCACATGGCAAAAGGGTCAAGCTGACTTTCTGGAGTCTCTGCAATAAAGGGACAACTCCCATTCCTGAGGGCTCCATCCTCACGCCCTAACCACTTCCCAAAGGCCCACCTCCTGAAACCATCATCTTGGGCATTAGGTTTTCAACATGTAACAATTTTTTGTGGGGGAGGGGAGGAGGGGTCATAGCAAGACCCAGGGAATTATGAAGTCCGCCGCCCCCACCCCAGCAGGAACACCCCCCACCCCCGCAGACGCACACACTGACACGCACACCCACACAGAGTAGCCGGGAGAACAGCAGCCCTTCTGTGGATAAACACTGACACAATGTGCGACATGAGGAGTGAATCCCTGCTTTGTGGCTGCGGGCTTGGCTCCTTCCCGGGCCTTCCGAGTTCAGAATTGTTGGGATTGGCACTGAGAAATCCTGTGGGGGAAACTATGCAGAGAAAATGACTCCTTGTGTTTCCTAAAAATTGGCAATAAGGGAACATACAAATGGAAGGAAGCATACAAGTAAATAGAAAGATCAACCATGAGTGCAGATGAGAAGCTTTAACTTCTCCCAGGTCTTTTTTTTTTTTTTTTTTTTTTTATCCTCACCCAAGGATATTTTTCCATTTTTTGTACAGATAGAGTGTGAGGGAGAGAGAGAAAGGGAGAGAGAGAGAGAAACATCGACATGAAGAGACACATCGAGTGGCTGCCACCCACACAACCAACCAGGGCCGGGGACAAACTGCAACCGAGGTACATGCCCTTAGCGGGAACCGAACCCAGGTCTCTCCGGACCGCAGGCCGACGCTCTAACCACTGAGCAAAACTGGCCAGGGCTCCCAGGTCTTATATAAATACCTTATACCACTGAAAAATTACGAAAACCCCGATCACAAGGACTGTACTGAGTGCCCCAGAACACCCACGACTCACAGGCAAGTAAACCGCGGGGTTTCGTGCCCGTGACTGATGAGAGGGCGAAGGGTCAAAACGAGGAAGAGAGCTTAGGCCCCGAAGACCATGAGCACAGCCCGGCCGGTGTGGCTCAGTGGGCTGAGTGTCTTCCCGGGGACTGTGGTTCTGGGTCGATTCCTGGTCAGGGCACAGGCCTGGGTTTCGGGCTTGGTCCCCATGGGGGCATATAGGAGGCAGCCAATCGATGTTTCTCTCTCACATCAATGTTTCTCTCTCTCTCTCTCCCTTCCTCTCTCTTTAAAAAAATCAATACAAACATACTTTTTTAAAAAAGAACTTTAGCACACAAGCTTAGTGCAGAAAAGGAGGGTCCGGCTCAGAACAATCACCAGGAGCGCGGGATCAGGGAGGCAGGAAATCCTTGCCTGCAGACGGCTGGCCCCCTGAGGATGCTGCTGCAGGAACCCCCAGGGGTGGGAGCCGTTTTCCTGCCGGGGGCCATTGGGATATTTAAAACATCATTCACAGGCCATACAAAATTATCCACTTAAAAATTAGCCTGCCCTGTTTGTCAGGCTCGCTTGGTGAGGAATGTGATGTTAGCTGGGATTGAGTGCACGGGCCTTCTACGGCCCAGGGACCGTCATTCCCCACCCTGGACACGCAGACAAGAACATTCCTCTGCACCATGAGCCTGGGGGAGACGAGGGAGACAGGGGAGATTGTCTTATTTTTAAATTTTTCTTTCTTTATTTTGACTTTTAGAGAGAGAGGGAGAGACAGAGGGAAACATCGATGAGAGAGAACATCGACTGGCTGCCTCCTGCACGCCCCCCCACTGGGGATCAGGCCCACAACTGGGCATGTGCCCTGACCGGGAGTCGAACCGGCGACCTCTGGGTGCTGGGTCAACGCTCAACCACTGAGCCACCCTGGCCGGGCAGAGAGATTGTTTTAAAAAGCCACAGAGAACACTGTAGAACAAATAGAAAATGTGAAGGAGAAGCACATGTTGGGGAAAAGGATTACAGAGGAATTCAACACTGACACAGAGAAAGCTATTGTGTGGGACCAACAGGGGCACTAATGGATAAGACAGTTTAAACTACATTCTCAAACACAGGAGCAACAGCTACCAATCTGAATTCCCTGTGAGTAAAAGTCTGACAAAGCTTTGGGCAAGCCTACGTGAATTGTGCATCTTCAAAAAGTCTCTTCCTACCATGACTCAGACAGGAGCGCACTGGAGGTCAGAGGGAAGTCTTTCAGAATTATGCGCCAGGAGACAGTTTCCTCCCCCTGCCCTCCAAAAAGAAAACAATGTGGCTATCCTGTCATACTTCATGCTTCGCTTCCCCTACCAGAGGAAGCTTAATGAAGACTTCCGGTGACAAAGATAAAACGGGGTACTTTGTGAAGACTAAGACATTCTTACCACAGATCCTTTTGGAGCAGTCTGTCGAAAGCAAGCTTGGCTTTGAGATCCTTCCAGGCAGGGACTAGCCTTGTATTTCCACCAGGTAACCAAACCCAGTACAATACCCTGCTGGGTAAATATCTAACCTCGGATGAACTCAATGAAAGGAATTTTAAAAACTCTTCTGGACGTGTCAGACTTATAGAAAAGTCGCAACAGCAGTACCCAAAAATCCCAGTCTTCACCCCAGCTCCCCAGATGGTACCATTTCGGTCAAGTCTGCTTCTTCATTCTCTCTCCCATCTCCCTCTCTCCACACATGGCATATACATGTTGTAAATATACATACTCGTGTTTCCTAAAAATAAGGGTATCCTCATACAGAAACACCACTACCTATCAAAATCAGGGAATTAAAAACGATTTCATACTACAGACCCTTGTCCAACCCCGAGTTCTCATCGCGTTCTTTGTAGAAAATGAGAATCCTCTTACACATCCTCCCCACCCCCACCCCAGTCTGAAACGGGCCCCTCGGTCTTTGCCTTTCCCAGTGGGACATTTTTAAAGAACACAGGACAGCCCGGCTGGTGTGGCTCAGTGGTTGAGCGTCGACCCTGTACCAAGAGGTTGCCAGTTTGATTCCCGGTCAGGGCACATGCCCAGGTTGTGGGCCTGATCCCCAGCGGGGCGCGTGCAGGAGGCAGCCAGTTGATGTTCTCTCTCATCGATGTTTCTCTCTCTCTCTCTCTAAAATCAGTAAAGAAAAAAAAAAATTAAAAAAAAAGAATACAGGGCAGTCCCTTTGTAGCATGTCCCTCTATTTGGGTTTGTCTAATGGGTCCTCATGATTAGATTCAGATTAGGCATTTTTGGCCAGACTCTCAGAGAAGTGATAGTTTTTCTCAGTACATATGTCAAGAGGCAAAAGAGGTCCATTTGTTCCCTTACTGGTTATGTGAACTGAGCATCTGATTGAGGAGGTGCCGGCCAGGTTTCTCCGCTGTAAAGTTACTATTTTCCTTTATAGTTAATTAATAAGGATCTGGGGGGAGAGGGGGGAGAGTTAATTTTTCTTTAAACAAAGCAGTACTGGAATAAAAGATGCGTTTTTAAACATACAACATGAAGAAAAATATAAATGAATCTAGAATAAACATTAAAAAAATTAGAATACATTTAAAATACCTTATACTAGTTTTTTTAATCATATAATATATCTTATTTTTAATAATGGTCTTAAAATTTCTTTTTCTATAGAGACCAAGTCTGGCTGAATGAAATAAATTGGTGATAAGTGAAAAAAAAAAACAAAAAAAACCCCACCAATTCATTATAATGTATGTGAAAGTGTCGAATAGCATGTTTGCTTTGGAATGACTCTAAAAGCATTAAAAGAAGCATTAAAAGAAGACTGAAAACATACACTTCTGTGCATTTGTGGGGAGACTGTGTTACACTGTTTCACATGAGAAGATCAACAGACTATGACACGTGGCTGACTCGAATCCACTAGGCAAAGGAACTGATTTATATAGGCCTTTCATATCAACATCTCTGGGGCTTTACAAAACTAGTTTTTTTTTTTAAATCTATGTATGAGCAGATGTTGTCCCGGATGGTCCTCAGAGGATCACTACGAAGGTTCATTGAAATGCTTCCGACCTTTGTCCTCCCCATCAACCCCAGCACGCTGCTGACACCATTTCTAATGAGCCAGTGGAAGAGGGGTGCAGGAAGTACAATAAAAATATCATGTAATCAAGTAATAAATAAATAAATAAAAATAATAAAATAAAAATTAAATTAAAAATAAAAATATTCCAAATTTGAGTTTTATGAACCCTTGAAGAAACGGTCAAAAGGCTATGACTCTGGAACTGGAGAAAGGCAGAGTTAAGAAACGGCTCTATAGCCCTGGCTGGTTTGGCTCAGTGGTTAGAGTGCTGGCCCGCGGAACAATGCGTTGCAGGTTCGATTCTGGTCAAGGGCATGTACCCTGGTTAAGAGTCATCCCGGACCCTGGTTGGGGTCGTGCGGTAGGCAGCCACTCGATGTGTCCCTTTCACATCAATGTTTCTCTCTCTCTCCCCCTCCTATCTGAACAGAAATAGAACATGTCTAGTAGCAAATGGCTGGTGAGCGGCACTCCGCCAGGCCTGGCAAAGCCAAAGCGCACTATCAGTGAGCCGATCCTTGGCTCAAAATCGTTCAACACGAGTTAGAGAGAAAACACAGTTGTGAACACACGGTATAGCCCTTTATTTGCACGTACACTCGAGCTAAGAGCCACAGCACACAGCAGCAGAGCACGAGGTCCCGGCCAGTCCAGGAAGGGACCCTGTACGCTTCTACTTCGTTTGCTTCAGAGAGAAATGCAGCATGGATTTTAAAAGTAACAAAATAATAGTTTGAAATCGTTTACTGGGGGGAAACATTAAGATCTTTCTCAAAGAAAATTGTTTTAAAAAGTGGCCCAATTTAAAAAAAAAAAACTGGAAAAATCAAGATTAAATTCTGGATCACTTAGAGGGATGTTCTTTCACACATACTTACAAAAAGGTTCTTTGTTTTCCTGGGGTGACAAAGATTGTAATGTCTCCAACAACAGTAAATCAATGCTCTCTGAAATAGAAGCCAGTCTCTACCTTAAAAATATGGACCTTCTTTGAGGAAATGCTTATGCCTTGTAGCTTTTTCACATTCTGGACAATTAAGTGGATTCAGGTAATAAATTAGAAAATACCATGGTAAGGTAAGAGGCCCGAAAGCATTTGCAATATATGTACATATTCCATATGAAAACCCTTCCGTCACAGTTGTACGCGGCATTCAATTATTTAACATTATTCCTTCTCCTACGCTGTTGTGCCGACTTTCAAGTGATGCCTTCAAGTCAGGGATTTCTTCCGGCTGCAGTAGAGAAGATACGGCAAGAAAAATGCCACGGTGCCATCTTCTGGAAGGACGTTCAGGAAATCCCTCAGGTCTAGTTCCACAGCGACAACGGACAGCGTTTCTGTTGGCAGGAAAGATATCTGCGTTAGAACTGAATGTCTTCCGTCCAACTCTCTTACCACCCAGCCAGTTAGAAGTTAGTTCAGGTAGCAAAACATTACAACTACGAAAGAAAGAGAAAAACAGTCTCTCTAAGTCTACACTACGTTTTCTGGTTTTACCACTTCTTATCTATTCTTTCTAGAATCCTTTAAAGTTTATATTAGCCCCATGCGATTTGGACTTTACTATTTCATCTCATTCAGAGAAATTATTACAATACTTTCCAATAAATTTCTATTATCTTCTGAAGAAAGATGCAATCATTTGAGTACCATTTTTAATGGGAGAACTGTACTGCAGCTAATTTATACAGATGAGAACAAAGCTGTTTTCGTGACCATTTCCCTTTTTTCCAAAGTGCAAAATAAGGAGCTCTAATGAACATTTTAGGTATTAAGGAATTTAGCAGACATTTTTGTCAAGATAACTGGACGGTTCCAGTGCTTCCGGATACACCCCTGTTGCCCTCTGCTAGGAGGAGGGGTGACATCTAGGAACAGTGTTCCCAATAACCACAGAGCAGTGCCAGCGCCTGGGTGAGCGCACACGCCCACCTGCTCTGCGCAGTGCCTGCTGCCTTCAAGGTTACCTGTGCAGTACCAAGCGCCCAGGCCCCTCTCCGCAAAGGGCCGCACGCCCTTGCTGCTGGGGTTAGCGTGCAGCAGCGTGGTGTGTGGGGAGACCCCCAGCTCCGGTATCAGACCGTGCTGGGCAGGGATCAGACTCTTCTACCTACTCTCTGGGTGACTTCGAGAAAGTCTTGCCTCCTGAGCCCGCTTCCTCATCTGTAGTGCAGCGGTGCCACCTGCTCGCTTCCGGAGGCCTTTGAGAACTAAATACAACGATGTGCATCTAACAGCATAGAACGTGACAGGAGCTTCTGACTAGTCCGTGACCCTACGTGGAAAACACGAATGATCAAATGCTTTTCTATCAAGCCAGTTTATTTGGCCTAAACGTGGAGTCTATAAATCGTCTCCTACACACAAGAAAACTGAGTTGGGGGACAATGCACAGTAGTTACAGACCCACAGAAAGGTCTTGCCACTACCCATTTCTCCCCTGCCAACCAGCGAGGGCTACGCAGGCTGTAACTCCAAGAACCAGGTCAAGGTCTTTAAACCCTTCAAGTACCTTAAGCCCTCCAGAGTGACTAGAAACTATTCATCATAAGGCTGAAAACAGCTATTTCTGGCTGGTGGGACTTTAAATGACTTTTTAAACTTTATTTTTATAAGTTACTACAGTATGAGAATTGTAGCAATGAGCACAATTCATTACCAGAAAAACAGTAACAAACATTTCCTTGAAACAAGCCAACTACTAACTCAATTTCAATGGCTCTGCACTAACGTGAAGGTTCTCAACCAGCAGGGTTTGCCCCCAGGCGACATCTGGTCATGTCTGGAGACATTTTTGTTTGTCTGGACTGGGGCAGTGTTATTGGTATTTAGTGGGTAGAGGCCAGGGATGCTGCTCAACATCTTAAAATGTACAGGGGACACACACACACACACACACACTATTTGGTCCAAAATGTCAATAGTGCCAAGTAGAGAAACACTGCGTTAGAGATACAACATCCAAGCTCCTAAGCATACAGGTCACTTAGTGGGTAGCAGACCTGGAACTCGGTCCCAATTCTCCAGGCTCTGATCCTGGTCGCTTTTCCGTGTAGTACAGCTGCCGACAGAAAGATCTCCCTTGAAAATGGACCTGAAGTCATGCAGGTCCTCCCTCAAGTCAATCAGCAGTTACCGAACGCTTTCTGTGACGGGCAGGCTGCGGTGAGGAGGGTGCAACGTGGAAAGTGACTAAAACACGGCATCAGCCTTGAGGGGCTAGAGGCTAACAGAGGTAAGACACAGAGCACGTAGGCCCGTGAGCCATGCACACATCTGTGTGCAGACACAGTCGTATTCTGAAGATACGGAAAAGCGGAACACCTGCTGGAATGATTGCAGTCAGTTAGGGACAGAGAGTTTATGGGTGCAGCTCAGATAAAGATGAAGCGAAGAAAACCGAGGCAGTAAGATTACAGACATTTCCTGTAGCGCTATTTCTTCTGACGTATCTCCTTGGGCAAAGGAAACAAAAGAAAAAAATAAACAAATGGGACTACATCAAACTCAAACGTTTTTGCACAGCAAAGGAAACCATCAACAAAATGACAACCCACTGAATGGGAGAACATATTTGCCAATGATACACCTGATAAGGGGTTAATGGCCAAAATTTATAAAGGACTTATAAAACTCAACACCAAAAAAACAAACAATCCAATTTAAAAAACGGGCAAAGGACCTGAAGAGACACTTCTCCAAAGAGGACATACATACAGATGGACAATGGATATATGAAAAGATGCTCAATGTCACTAATCATCAGAGATGCAAATTAAAACCACAATGAGATATCACCTCACACCTGTCAGAATGGCTGCCATCAACAAATCATCAAATGAGTGCTGGCGAGGGTGTGGAGAAAAGGGGACTCTAGTGCACTGCTGGTGGGAATGCAGACTGGTGCAGCCACTGTGGAAAATAGGGTGGAGGTTCCTCAAAAAATTAAAAATGGAACTGCATTATGACCCAGTGAATCAACTTCTGGGACTATTTCTTAAGAATACTTAAACACTAATTTGAAAGAATATATGCACCCCTATGTTCATTACAATGTTATTTATAATAGACAAAACTTGGAAGCAACCCGAGTGTCCATCAGTAGATGAGTGGATAAAAAAGCTGTGGTATATTTACACAATGGAATACTACTCAACCACTAAAAAGAAGGAAATCTTACTCTTTGCAACAGCATGGAGGGACCTGGAGAACAGTATGCTAGTGAAATAAGCCAGTCAGAGAAAGACAAGTACCATATGATTCCACTCATCTATGGAATCTAATGAACAAAATAAACTAACAAAATAGAAACAGACTCTTAACAGAGAGGCAGACTGACAGCTGCCAGGGGAGGGGTGTTGCGGGGCTGGGTAAAAGGTGAAAGGATTAAGCAAGGAACAAACAAAACCGAAAACCTCATGGATGCAGACAACAGTGTGGTAATTACGAGAGCCAAAGGAGGTGGGGGAGGAGAAAGTGGGTATACGGGGGATAAATGGTGGGGGAAGGAGACTTGACTGGGGATGGTGAACACAGAACACAATAAACAGATGATGTGTTATACAATTGTACACCTGAAACCCATATAATTTTATTAACCAGTGTCACCCCAATACATTCAATGAAGAAAATACAATAAAGAAAGATACACAATAAAGAAAAAAGGAGTCTTATGGGCGAGGCCGTGCTGTGCGCAGGCGTGCAGAGGGGCGTCTCCCTGGAAGGTGACCCACCCACACAGATCATCGGCGCAGTGCAGGTCAAGGCGATGGAGGTGGGCTGGGCAACCAGCACCCGCCACTCAGTCTTCCAAAACCAAACCCGCAGGGAGACGGGGAGAAGGGGAGACGGAGACGGAGACGGGCGGCGCAGACAGTGAGGGGAAAGTCACCCCCTCCCATCATGAAGAGGGAGCTTCAGGAACACGCCTTCCAGGGGCTGCAGCAGTGAATTCTGCTGCAAAACACAATTGCAACACTGCCCGTCTCTAACACTGTACGCGCAGAGATCAGGGTAACCGCACCCTCTGTCATCGGGCCAGCAATTCACCAGTGTTGTCAACACACAAGAGCAGAGAACTGGATAACCATGTATCTATCAAGATTTACAAATGATTATAAATTAGGAAAATTCAAATAATAACTCCCCATGCTGTAAAATACTTAATAATTGCGAGACCCTCCTCTTTCAAATCCTTGAGAACCTTGTCACCCCTCAATACCTGCTTACAATCATGATTAATAATGATAGTCATCCTAATTTCCTACATGAAGGAAGATAAGCAGAGATCACCAATAAAACTGTGATTGTCGTCGTGAAAACTCAGATTTTTGGATGCCGAGGTCTGAGCGTCTGTGTGACCTGTGCTACGTGAGGGAACGGCAGCAGGGAAGCGGCAGCTCCTGGAGCCAGGAGACGCACACAGGTCGGGGGGTCGGGGTGTCAGGGTGTCAGGGTGTCGGGGGGTCAGGGTGAGGGCAGGGTGAGGGCAGGGCGAGCTCTCCGGGTGTCCTCGGAGCCTCCGCCTCCGTCAGAATCACAAGGACAAGCTGGAGAACAAGGGCTTCAGCAAAGTAAGGAAGCTGAAGCGAAGGCACAATTTCACGTGTAACCCAGCGAACATGACCATTTACCTTTCAGCGACGACAGGTAAAGTTGGTGCTTCTCTCCACCACACTTTATCCTCTGACAGAGTTCAGGCAGCAGTTTTTTCCACCACAAAGTCTATCTTAGGAAAAAATGAACACATTTTAAGTCTGATGCACTCTGCATTCAGATTTCCAACAAGAAGAAGATCATGCAGGACAGTACAGGCAAGAGTATGTCACTTTGGTTAACGCGGCAACTTTGTTACAACAGAAGTTGTATCAGCAGCCAGTGTTCTGCTTAAACTATGACATAGAACTCAGATTTGTAGCTTGAAAACCTAATAGCACTATACTGTACGTATGTACACAGCTGTTTTCACGAGGAAACAGACACAGCCTGGATCCTCTGAGGTGGCAAGAGGAAGGATAAAAGGAAGGAAGGAGAGAAAAAGGAGTCAAGTCTAAAATTGATTTCTAAACTAAAGACCATGGAGCCCAGAAAATATTTTTCCATCAACTTTTTTCCCAAACCTTCGGGGAATAGCCTAGTTCACCTTCAAATGAGTGATTTTTAATGAAGATAACAAACCATCACCAAACATTTTAATAGGCCCGAACAGTACTCAGAACACAGAGCACGTTAAAGACACCTGCTCAGTGGGCCCGCACAGTCCTGTGACGCTGGACTGGCCTTCTCTGTCCCCATTTGGCAGAGAGGGCAACAAGCTGGTCAAGTCCGACCGTCGCTGATGGGCCCAGAACACGAATCTGAAAGGCATACCCGGGTCTCTCCCTTCAGCTCGTGACTGGCGTACGGGATGACCGCCTCGGGGCACCTCTCCAGCAGCACGTCGATGCACTGCTCATACTCCTTCAGCCGTGTCCGGCACAGAGCCTGGACGCTCAGGCCAGCGACAGTGTCTTCTGACAGGGGCTCCAGGAACGGAATGATGGAAGCTATGTCAAATGAAGGACCACATATAAGAGACTATAAATAGAAAAGGGAAACGTTATGGAATGAGGCACTCAACAATCCAAAGCACAACATACAGAGTACAATTTTTTTTTTTTTAAAGACTATCAACCTCACTTGTAAAAAAAGAAAGTCCTGGCCGGTTTGGCTCAGCGGTTAGAGTGTCGGCCTGCGGTCCAGAGAGACCCGGGTTCAGTTCCCACTAAGGGCACGTACCTCGGTTGCAGTTTGTTCCTGGCCCTGGTTGGTCATGTGGGTGGCAGCCATTCGATGTGTCCCTTTCACGTCAATGTTTCTCTCTCTCTCTCTCTCTCTCTCTCTCCCCCACTCTACCTGAACAAAAAATGGAAAAATGTCCTCGGGTGAGGATAAAAAAGAAAAAGAAGAATGTAATTGTAGAGCACATGCATGTGATACTAAGTTTTAACCACCTCTAGTTTAAAGAATAATAATCTGCTTGGCCAGTAGGCTCAGTGGTTGAGCATCGACCCATGCACCAAGAGGCTGCTAGTTCAATTCCCAGTGAGGGCACATGCCCAGGTTGTGGGCCTGATCCCCAGTGGGGGGCATGCGGGAGGCGGCCAATCCATGTTCTCTCTCACCGATGTTTCTATCTCTCTCTCCCTCTCCCTTATTCTCTCTCTAAAAATCAATAAAGAAAAAAATTTTTTTTTTAAGAATAACAAGCCCTTTAATAGCAATAATTTAAAAAATAACATGATTTTATTTGCGTTGGGTAGACTGCATTTTAAAACTACCGGGAATGCTTTAGGACCCCATCCTAAGGAGATAACAACACTGTGTTCAAAGATCTATGTCCAATGATCACCACAAGAGCATTTATAACATTGAAAACCAGGAGCAACCTAAATGTTACACAAACGGGGATGAGTAAATTATGGTATGTTTGTATGACGGAATATTATATAGCCATCAAAACTGTTTTCAAAGGTCACTTAATGACAAAATGGTCATGATAAAATGATGAGAGAAAAAAAAAATCTCAGTACAAAATTATATTCAGAGCACGATCAGGTTTGTAAGCACAGGTGCGTGCAGATACAGAAATGCCTCTGGAGAGCACAGAATCCGCACCAGAGATCAGCTCCGTGAGTGGGAGACAGAGCCCACTTGTTTCTGTTTCCCTGTATTTTCCAAAGTTTCCATAATAAGCATGCACGGCACATTCAACCAAAATAAAAAGTAACATTTAAGAAAACAAACACAATTATTAAGAACCTAATAGCCCTGGCCGGTTTGGTTCAGCGGTTGGAGCGTCGGCCTGTGGTACAGAGAGACCCGGGTTCGGTTCCCGCTAAGGGCACGTACCTCGGTTGCAGTTTGTCCCCGGCCCTGGTTGGTCGTGCGGGTGGCAGCCACTCAATGTGTCCCTTCACATCGATGTTTCTCTCTCTTTCTCCCTCCCTCTCGCTCTATCTGAACAAAAAATGGAAAAATGTCCTCGGGTGAGGATAAAAAAAAAAAAGAACCTAATAATTTGTTATCAACACCATTTGCTACAATCTGAATAAAGGAGCAGGTACTATCTCAGTATTCAGAACTGTAAGCAGTATTTTACTTTTGCGCATTGAAACGATAAATACAGCTGACCCTTAGCAATGTGGATCTGAACTGCACAGACCCACTTACATGCAGATTTTTTCAAATGCCCCATGCAATTCACCTCGAGGGTCAACGAGCAGCTGGCAGTCCACGTATGCGGAGGGCTGACTTAAATCGTGTGAATGCTCCACTGTGTGGGCAGCTGGTGCTCCCAACCGCCATGATGTTCAAGGGTCAATCTGACTGCTTTTTTTTCAACTGTACTACTTTTGATTTTACCAAAATAATCTCCATTCTCCTTCCTTCTGGATAAAGACGAGATGATCAGATACTGATTTCCTTCTTTCTCTGTCTTTTTTTGCTACAGCTTCTCAGGCTCAGAGGAGAACATGGGACGTGAACTATCTACTTACAGTCAGCATGATTATCTTATTCCGCATCTCTACCAAGGAATGGCTAGGAGAATAAGGTCGGTCCTTTCCTTCCTGCAAGTTTAATAATCACCTTCATCCGAATCATTTCTTCGGATAGTGCGATAGCAAACACGGAACAAGGGGATAACTTGGCACGCGTAGATCTCCCAACACAGAAGAAGACAGATTATTTCTCTATTCAACTTTTGATTCATCGAGACAGTGTGCCAGGTAGGAAGGAGCTAGGTACGGGTAACCCAACCCAAGATTAAAATGCAACTAGTCAAAGCTTGATACAAAATGGAGTACCCATGAACTTTTACTTAGTTTTATCCATATCATTAAGAAATTTAAAAGTAAAAAACACCAGACAACACATATATTACTGAATTAAAAAATGGCCCAAAGGTTACAACTGCTCTTTAAAACACTTTTTTTGTTGTTAATCCTCAGCCAAGAATATTTTTCCACTGATATTTTTCGATAGAGTGGAAAAGAGGGAGGGAAGGAGGGAAGGAGAGAGAGAGCAAGGGAGAGACATAGATGTAACAGAGACACACCAATTGGTTGCCTCCCACACAACCCGGGGATCAAACCCACAACTGAGGTGCATGCCCTTGACTGGGAATCAAACCCACGACCCTTCGGTCCACAAGCTGAGGCTCTAAGTACTGAGCAAAACTGGCCAGGGCTCTTAAAATACTCTGTTTTTAAATTTTATTTATTTTTTAATTAGTTTATTTATTTTTGTTACAGATGTTTCTCCTTTTCCCCCCACTGATTCCCTCTCCCCTCCCTCCCCGCCCTAGCTTTGCTGTCCATGTCCACTGGTCATGCACACATGTGTGTAAGTTCTGTGGTTTATCTCTCCACAGAACTTACACAGCGATCACTCTACTGTGTTTTCAGTACTGGAAACGGCCTCCTCCACCCCAGCACAGGCCGTTACTCCCCCTCCGATCTCGATCCCCCAGCTGCAGCCGGCTCTGCAGGACTGGAACCCAGACCTCTGGAGTTTCTCCACCCACACAAACACCTGCCGCTCTAGGGCCAGAAGGCTGGCTGGGCGGTGGGGGAGGAGCCCAGGACAGTTTTGGTAAAGGGTAGGGCATTTACCAGTTACTGTTTGTATTTTAATTTTTGCACAAACATGTACACTATCACGGTGACTGAGGACAGGAGACACATCAAATCTGTGTGGTGGTGGCAGGTGGGGGCAGAGGGCAGTCACGCAACTTTGAAAACCTTTCCAGGTGGTCCTGACCCCCACCCCTTCTTCCAGGTGAGAACCACATGAAATCTTGTTTCTTGCGGGTTATTTTGTTCCTAATGACTAAGGCTAATTGGCCCACAGATAATCTAGAAAAGGCCATGGTTAGGAAAGTGATTTGGAGCCGTTGAGGCCGACTGCACTTCTATCCTTTAACAGCAAAGGCTCCCACGGGGATACTTTTAATACTTTTAAATGGATTTTAAGAGCCTGTTAAATTATACTTTCCAAGCAGTGATTACAACAGGCTTCGTAGCTTTATCAGGTGAGATTTAACGACACTTGTTGCAATTACGATTTTAAGGGGTAACTGGTACGAGTTCCGGGAGAGCCAGGGGCTGCCTGCCAGGCCGGCACGTGCACCTTCAGTGTCTGCTCAGGGACTGTCTGCAGCTCGACCCCCTCTGTGTCGTAAGGGTACCAGGGAGGAGAACCAACAGGAATGTTCTCTGGTGACTTTTTAAGAATGTTAGTAACTCCGTCTGCAGACAACACAGGCTACCTAGAGGCGGTCTAAGCAACCTCGTCTACGGAGCTTCCCTCCCAACCCCACCCCCGTTATGGTTTCTAGAAGCAATAACTGTACCTACACCTGTTCCCAGGGGTTGCAAACTCTAAAACCTAAGAATCAATGGCAGCTGACTACAAGGAAAATAGTCACCACACCCTCGGGTCTGGGCGGAGACTGGGGCGGAGACAGGTAGCAGGCGACAGCACAGCACTGCCCCAGCAGGGGCCGCCACTGGCCCCAACCGCAGGTCTCAGGCAGGGAGGCCGGGCCACCAGTTCTGCTGAGCTCTTCAAGGGAAACGTAGAACTCAGAACTCTTCACTTAAAATGTCAATTTTTAGCCCAGCTGGTGTGGCTCAGTAGTTGAGCGTCAGCCCTGCACCAAGAGGTCGCTGGTTCGATTCCCAGTCAGGGCACAGGCCCAGGTTGTGGGCCGGATCCCCAGTGGGGGGCGTGCAGGAGGCGGCCAATCCATGTTCTCTCTCATCCATGTTTCTTTTTTTTTTTTTTATCCTCACCCGAGGACATTTTTCCATTTTTTGTTCAGGTAGAGTGGGAGGGAGAGAGAGGAACAGAGAGAGAGAGAGAGAAACATCGATGTGAAGGGACACATCGAGTGGCCACCCGCAAGACCGACCAGGACCTGGGACAAACTGCAACCGAAGTACATGCCCTTAGCGGGAACCGGGTCTCTCAGGACCGCAGGCTGATGCTCTAACCACTGAGCCAAACCGGCCAGGGCTCTCATCCATGTTTCCATCTCTCTTTCTCTCTCTCCCTCCCCCTTCCTCTCTCTAAAATCAATAAAGAAAAAAAAAATTTTTTTTTAATAATAAAATAAAATGTCAACTTTTATATATTGGTAGATACAGTGGGCAGACGAACAGATTTGGGGGTTCCCTTTACTCCCTGGCCCACTGAACTACGTTAAACAAAATCATATCCACATCTAGCCCAGCCTAGCCCACCTAGTCCAATGCAGACTTTATTTCTCATTCCAGTCGAAACACTGTCACAGTCAGAATTCTTACAGGATGATCCACATTCTTTGGTCATACTTCTTTTTTTTAAAAACCCTTTCAGGACCCACTTTGACTATTGGCTACTTTTGACTTTGGCTACTTTGACTATTTCTGATGAAACACAGTAGTGGCCAGATTGGGCTGCAGGCGGAGAGTGAATGAATGGGGCAAAGGGAACGTGAGGCTCGGCGGTAACGCCCTGCTAGACACCTGGCTCTCGCAAAGTGCGTTCAAGCACACGGCGAGAGGGGGGACAGTCCCGTGCGGGGGGGGGGGGAGGGGACAGTCCCGTGCTGAGGGGGGGCGACAGTCCCGTGCCGGGGGGGGGGGCAGTCCCGTGCTGACGGGGGGAGACAGTCCTGTGCTGAGGGGGGGGACAGTCCCGTGCTGAGGGGGGGGACAGTCCCGTGCTGACGGGGGGAGACAGTCCCGTGCTGAGGGGGGGACAGTCCCGTGCTGGGGGGGGGCGACAGTCCCATGCTGGGGGGGGGGGACAGTCCCGTAGAGGGGGAGACAGTCCCGTGCTGAGAGGGGGGACAGTCCCGTGCTGAGGGGGGGCGACAGTCCCGTGCTGTGGGGGGTGGGGGGCAGTCCCATGCTGGGGGGGGAGACAGTCCCGTGCTGTGGGGTGGGGGGCAGTCCCATGCTGAGGGGTGGGGGGCAGTCCCATGCTGAGTGGGGGGAGACAGTCCCATGCTGTGGGGGTGTGGGGGACAGTCCCGTGCTGAGATGCTCACGCACGTGCGTGAGACCAGCCTTCCTGGGAGCAGCTCGGCCGAGGCAGGAGACCCTGAGATGCCCGCCTATGAGTCTGTCCCTCAGAATCACACCCTCTAGATGAACAGGACCCCTGAGGTCTAACCACATGTACATCCTACATTAAAGAGCAACATGTATATTCATTTTAATAAAAAGAGGCCTTTTCATTTACCTGTAATTTGGAGAGATCTTCTGTATAATTTTTGTCAGGTAAGGAGGCAGATGCTATTAAGACATTAACCCAGGGATAGATTAAGCCATAATGGCTACAGGCGTTTATCTAAAACGTAAAAGAAATGAACATAAACAAAGTACAACAGAACGAGAAGTTCTCATCATACTAAGCAGAGCAGGCAATCAGCGGCCGTGTCGCAGAGTTGAGTGCACTGTCCCTGGGACTGGGAAGGGACGTCTTTCAGAATCGATTCCCCTGGGAAGTCGCAGCCTTCCTACTTCTCACTGACAACTCCACACGAAATATTTCCTAATGCTTTAAATTTAAAATACTCCAAGGAGGCCCTTTCGAGCACAAAAAGCAGTAAGTGCTTTTAAGCTAATTATACTAAAAAAATAAAAAATTAACAGCAATACCAGAAATGATTTTTTATTCCTACTACTTTCCTTGGGAGATCGAATCTCTTCCATAAGTTCTTACGATAATCCCCCTAAGAGCCTCCCAGCCGGAGCTCGGGGACTTTCCGTTGGCTGTGACCCACGGGGGACACTGGGGCAGCGCAGGAAGGGGCTAGGCCACGGGGAGGCTGCCACATGGGCTTCCGGACAGCTTGCGTGTGAGGCCCCCGGGAACGGATCCTCTCCCAGAAGCCTCTGCAGTCCTGCCCCGAGCGGGGAGGGTGGGCCCCTTGCTCATGCTGCACCAGACCCTGGGAGCACCGCGTGAGCTGGGACAGCCCCTCCTCGGGCTGTGCGGCCCAGGCTGCAGGGAAGTCGGTGAGCGGCAGGGACGCGCTTTAGAACGCAAACTATTTAAAACGTGGGCACTTCATCCATGGCCAAGTTCTAAGTGTACTTTTAACAAAAGGTCGCCGGTTCGATCCCGGTCAGGGCACATGCCCAGGTTGTGGGCCCGACCCCCAGTGGGGGGCGTGCAGGAGGCGGCCAGTTGATGCTGTCTCATTGATGTTTCTATCTCTCTCTCCCTGTCCCTTCTTCTCTCTCTAAAAATCAATAAAGAAAAAAATTTTTTAAAGATACCTGGTTATAGAACTTAGGTCTGATTCAAAGGCACTCCAATGAGAAGGTGCTCTATCGTGATGTGCTGTGCACTCCGTCATCTTACCAGGTCCTTCGATGTTCTCAGCGGCGCAGTGTCAGGGGGCTGCCTCTTCGACAGTCTCCAGATGTACTGGGACGTGAGCTTGGACAGGAGTTCCTGCAGCAGCACCTCCGGCAGGCATGCCGCCAGCTGGGCTTCCCAGAAGTCCACCAGGAGCTGAGGAGCCGCATCCCCACCCTTGCCGCAGAGCACCTGGAACACAGCGAATCGAGCCAATGTCCCGACCGACACAGGGTCGATCGGGTCACAGCGCTGACAGCACTCGGCCCGGGGCCGCGCGGTAAATGGTTCATCATTAGCATCAATGCCGCAGCACAGCCAATAGACACTCTGCTGCTCTATACTTTCACAAACTGTGTATGCCTAAGTTTGCTTTTTTTTTTCAATAAACAAATGGAAACTCATTTCTTTTATTCTGCTCCCTGCCCCCCACCAATTTTATCTGACAAACCTTAAAGAAGGAATCGGCCTCTTCAATCCCAATTTTGTTGTTTTTCTGTAAGCCCAGGACTGAGGCCACAAGCAAGCCGGGCTGGGTCTCCTTCAAGTGAACTGCAAACTCAGTTGGAACAATCTGTCCCTTCTTCTGTTGAATCAATAGCCGAGGTTCCAGAGTAAAACCACATACTAACTTCATCTTAAGATAAAAAAGAAATTTAGGAACAAAATGTACATTGATTACATCCATGTTGGAAATACATGCTAGTGCATTCAGGGTTCACGGTTAAACTAGTGATAACTTACTTTAATCTCCATGTTTCTCTTTAACTACAAAGACCAATTCTTATTCTAAGAATATCATTATTAACTCTCTTCATAGAAGTTATTAATATTTAATTAGGCATCAAGGTGCCCTAGTTTTGGAGAGAGCTTTACATTTAAGTTTACTTGATTTAATAATAATAATAGACCTTAAGCTTTTTCAAAATTATGGAAAGAAAATACATCTTTCTATAATTCTACTCTTTAAAGCAAAGATACCTCCGTGTTAAGTTCCTCTTCCCATCGTAACAAAATGTGTCCCTTACATAGTGCTCCAGTACCCCTGCTCCTCTTTGTGTTAGGAACCAGGGTCATACTGTGGGTGTTCGCCCCCAGTTGGACAATAAAACAACAGCATAGGAACACTGACTGCCGACTGCCGGCTTTAATCCTGCCTCTGCCACTCACCAGCAGTGTCATCTTGAACAAGTTATTTAACCCTTCTGTGGCTTAGTTCGCTGATCTGTAGAACGCTATAACGGTAGCATCTACCTTGTACACTGCTGCAAGAATTAAGTAAGAAAACGTGTACAAGGGGCTGAGAATAGGCCTGGGACATAATAAGTGCTCAATTAATGTTACCTCTTAATTTCTCCTAATAATGAACCTCTTCAGCTTGTCCCCTAAATGGCCTCTCTGCCAAGGGAAAGCTACACCATTCAGATGTCCACTCCTCCACGCAGGCCTTTGTGGCTTTCCCAAGGGCAGGCTACCTGTGCAGCCGCTGGACCCCTCGGGCTCACAGTGAACGCCCACGCGCTGTGCCCGAGCACACTCCCTTTGTCTTCCGTGGCCAGGCCGTCCCCTGGCGTCCGCGGGCAGAGCCTATGCACCCCTTGCTCTGAGCGCACCTGACACTAAGCCGGAAGGTCCTTGGATACCCGCTGCTGCCGTCTAGAATTCGTTCCGTTTGCCAGATCCAAAGCCCGAGCTTCCACTATGGGTCACTCCCTTTCTCATATCAAATCTATTTCCCTTTCGGACTAAGTCAGAATGAGCTGGACAGGGGCCGGGAGCAAAGCAAGCGTCTCAGGACTGCGGTCCTATTTCCGCCCGCCGTGAGCACCAGGCAGCGCCGTACCTCTGAATGGCTCTTCATCGCACTCCCGTACAGGTCCAGGTCTCCCATCTTCAGAGCCATCGCTGCCTTGGTCAGCGTCACTAAGACGGACGAAAGCCCGGAAGTGTCCAGTTTTCGGAGGTAGCTCATGGCAGCGGAAGGGTTGACATTCTTCATGGAAGGGCTGCAGAGGATGTGGGGCACCTGCTTCGGCTCAGCCACGTGGAACATCTGAACCACCTTGACCGCTAACTCCTTCGGTGAGCATGAAGGAGGAGCAGAGACACGGCCAACAGAAAGCAACAATCAGGAGAACGAAAAGATACAAAGCCAAGACACAACTTCCAATGAAAAGAAACTTATACTACTACGTTCTGATTTTAAAAGGCAGTTGATGGCGATGATGTGGGAGACCTCAGATGACTGGAGAAGAGAAAGCAGTGAAAATAGGTACCAAATTGTGGCCGGCACTTCTCATTTTAACAAGAACTCAGATAAAAATAAATATTGGATTAAATCACACTCAAAAGCCCATTATAAAAAATTACAGCTTAGTATAAAATATACTTAATAGGGTAATTTATTATAAATTTTCATTTCTCTCAAAATCTCATCACAATATCTAATTGCATATGTGTATTCATCCCTTTTTAAAAATACATGAGGGCTCTGTCCAATGTGGTTCAGTGGTTGAGCGTGGTCCTGTGCACCAGGGGGTCACCGGTTCGATTCACTGTCAGGGCACATGCCTGGGTTGAGGGTTCGATCCCTGGTCAGGGTGTGTGCAGGAAGAAACCAATAGATGCTTCTCTCTCTCCTTCACCCGACCTCTTTCTCTAAAATCAATAAAAAAAATTTAAAAAATAGCCCGGCCGGTGTGGCTGAGTGGTTGAGCATTGACCCTGCACCAAGAGGTTGCCAGTTCGATTTCCGGTCAGGGCATATGCCCAGGTTGTGGGCCTGATCCCCAGTGGGGGCATGCAGGAGGCGGCCAGTCGATGTTCTCTCTCATCCATGTTTCTATCTCCCTCTCCCTTCCACTCTCTCTAAAAATCAAGAAAAAAATAAAAATAAACAATAAAAATACACACAGGGCTACAAATAATCCGTAATAGTGGTTTGAGGTCCCGAGCCAGGACAGTGTAAGAGGTGTGGACACCTGGAGAGGGGTGACCGGGCCTGCGGAGAGGGAAGGCAAGGCCCACAGTGGACCACAGTTCCCCTCTACGTAATGAAGAAGTATGAGAAGATGCTTATGAGCTCCTTTCCAGGCCATAACTTTATCATTATTAATGAAGAAAGGGACACATCGGCCACCTTTTTAGTAAAAGAAACTATTAACCAAAGAAAACCATTTGGAACTTGACTTCTAAATGGTATTACATAAAATAAATCACTAACATGAAAAGTTAAAAATCTTAGGTATAACTAAATAGAAAACTATAATTACCTCACTTAATTCTTCATCCAGATTTTCATAAAGTGAATGACTAATATAGAAGATCAGCCCCTTCTGCGGCCCGCCGCCGGCCGCCCAGTCCACTCGAGCCAGGACGTCAGCCACGGACAGACCAGACATCCTGTAGTAGGGCAGGGCCAGGTGGGAATGCGGGGTGTCCAGCCTGCGGGGAGGAAGCGAAGGAAGCTCAGGTGTGTCCCTTGTAAGCCGGGGCATCTAACGTGTGTGATAACAAAACAGACGACATCGTTCTCACAATATCTGTCCACTGTCATTAGCAGGGGGAAGGACCTCCCGAGTGTTATTCTGCAAAGTCGTTCTCATTAATGGAGTTCTTTTTGCTTGCTCGTAATACAGACAGAAAAAATTAAATGAATTTTATATTCATAATGTGGCTCCAAAATAACAGTGTTTATAGGTAGAAAATGTCAGTTTTATTAATTTATAATCATCCCCATGGGTCAAGCAAGCCTTTGAAACAATCATATACAAAACAATCTGTAAACGTCATTCTCAGAAATAAAAACCACCGTTAAACTGGTGTCCTTTCTGACATCATGAAAGCCTTGACTACCAAGATTAAAATCACAGGCCATCCAACTGGCATGGCCCCCTTAAAACTAGGAGGGAATAAACTAGGAATATAGCTTGTCGGGGATTTTCACTGGTCATGCCCCACATCACCCCACCTCAAGGCCTAAAGAGAAACTTCGAGTTCATCAGTTCAGTGGTGGGAGACTCATGAACGTGAGACTCCCCGATCATCTAATAAACGGCCACTGCTGGGCGGCAGGCACGCTCATCGCTGTATCTCCAGACCTAGCACCATACCTGGCGCACGGCACGCGTTCAACGGAGGCTTGGGAAATACGCAGAGGAGCCGCCTCCCCTCCTGCGTGCTCCCACCATCAGGTAACTATCAGAGACAGAAGAGCTACAAGTTCAGCCGAAGCTCAACACGGCTTCTCGAACAAGTTCCCAGCGGCGTCACCAACCTGCTGTAGCAGTCTCCAAGGTGCCCACAGCTTTCCTTAAATGCTTCCACAAGTTCCGCTGTGTCCCCAGGCTCCCGCTGGCTGGCGTCCATCAGGGCAGCCCTCACCAGCAGGTGGGCCTCACTGAGCAGGTGGATGCAGCTCTGGGTCTTGCTGTAGGTGTTGCTGTAGTCCACCTAAACAGAAAGGCCAGCGGCGCACGTCACAGCGGAAAGGCTCCTGAAGGCTGCCCAGTCCTTAAGAATATCTATATACTTTGTTAGTACAATTAACATTTGGATACATTAAATCCTAAAACATAAAAAGTGGTTATTTATAATTCAGACAGGGCCTGGCCAAAGTGCAGCCCCCCATCTATGAGCCAGTTTTATACACACAATTGTAAATAATCCTTTGTTAAATAGTGCTCATCATTAGAGAAGGTACAAATACTTTAATACTAACAATACCAGTTATTAGCTAAGTTATTACTAACTTAGCAATAAAGCTAATGAACATATCTGAAATAGATAACTCTAGTTTAAAGTTCTATTTTGATTTAAATTTTTTTCAAATTCAGACTGAATATCCCTTCTTGTAGTTTCAATCAGTGAACTGAGATTCTACGACATCGATCTCTGCAAGTTGCAGTGGACTTATACAAATTATCACCAGCCCCGGCCGGTTTGGTTAAGCAGTTAGGTTGTTGGCCCACAGACCGAGTTGTGGGTTCAATTCCGGTCAAGGGCAAATACCTTGGTTACAGTTCGTCCCCAGCCCTGTTCGGGGTCGTGTGGGAGGCAGCCAGTAGATGTGTCTCTCTCACATTGATGTTTCTCTCTCTCTCTCCCCTCCCTCCCACTCTATCTGAAAATAAATGGAAAAATATCCTCAGGTGAGGATGATAAAAAAATAAAATAAATAAATAAGAAATTATCAGCAGTTATCTGAGTCGATCTGTATTTTCAGACTCCAGTAGGCAAATCATCTAGATGAAGTCTAAGATTTTCAATTGAGCAAAACTAAAAAGAAAACAGAGCAAAGCTGATAGAAATACTAGCCTTAAAATGCCAGGGACAAATCAGGCAAAACCTAGACCTGATGATCAAAATCAACATCACCAATGAGGGGCAGATGGTGCTCCCCCCAAGGCCATACTCCAAGACCACTAACACCACTGGATCACCTGTGCCACATTCTGGCCAAGCAGAGAAGAGAAGCTAATCATGAATAATTTTTAAAGGTGGAAAGGGGAAAATATATTTTCAAAAGTGTTTATGTCATTAAAAAAAAAAGTCTGGCTGGTGTGGCTCAGTGGCTGAGCGTCGACCCTGCACCAAGAGGTCGCCAGTTCGATTCCAGGCCAGGACGCATGCCCAGGTTGTGGGCCTGATCCCCAGTGGGGGGCATGCAGGAGGCGGCCAATCGATGTTTCTCTCTCTCTCTCTCCTTCTCACTTTCTCTCTCTGTAAAATAAATAAAGGGGAAAAAAACTAAAAAAAAAAAGGCTGTGAACATATTCCAGATTTAAAAGGACAGAGCTATGACAAGTACACTACTTGAGGCCATAGTGGGTCATGGGCTGGAGGGGAAATGCTTTTAGACAATCAGGTCAGCCGACAAAATGAAACACGAGCCAGAGACTCAAGCATGTGTCAGTGTGAAATCTACTGCTGCATGTGACTGCCCCGTGGTTGTGTGAGCACAGATTCTCAGGAGACACACACTGATCTATGCAATTCCTTTCCAAAGGACCAGAAAACGTGTTTGTGTGTGTAGAAAGTGCAAGAGCGGCCCTGGCCGGTTTGGCTCAGCAGTTAGAGCGCCGGCCCGCAGACCAAAGAGGTGCAGGCTGGATTCCTGGCCCCGGTCAAGGCCACATACCTTGGTTGCAGTGTGGTCCCCAGCTGTGGTCGGGGTCGTACAGGAGGCAACCAATCAGTGTCTCTCTCTCTCCCCACCTCCCTCCTACTCTATCTGAAGAGAAATGCAAAAGTATCCTTAGGTGAGGATTGAAAAGGAAGGTACAAGAGTGAGCTCGCCGATGTGGCTCAGTGGATGGAGCGTCGTCCCAGGGACTGAGAGGTCCTGGTTGGACACCCGGTCAGGGCACATGCCCGGGCTGCGGACTTGCTCCCCAGTAGGGGGCGTGCAGGAGGCAGCGATGGATATTTCTTCTCTCACAGCGCTGTTTCTCTCTCCCTTCCTCTTAAAAAAAAAAAAATCAATGAAAAATATTTTATTAAAAAAAAAAAAGACAGTGTAAAAGGGGAGGTGGGGCAAGGGGTGCAGATTCGGTAGATCTGTGTGGGGAATAGACAGGTTTTATTTGTACTATTCTAATTCTTGTAATTTTTCTGTAAGTTTGAAATCACATATTTCAAAATAAAGTTTTTTAAAAGCCCGGGATGAGCTGCAGCTGTCACTGTCGGAAAGGAGCGAGAATGCCCACTCCGGGCCACTCCCAGGACGGTGCCGCGGCACGGCAGGCCCGGAACCACCTGCAGGCCCGGAACCACCTGCAAGCCCCGGAACCACCTGCTGCCGCTCAGTGAGGGGCAGACAGGGACCCCGCTCTCCGGTCTCTCAGCTCCATCTCATGGCCTCTCTGCTCGGGTTCAAAGTAAAGGTCAAAAGCTCTTTATGTTTGGACCCATCCATCGATCCCTGCAGGAGGATGGTGTGAACATGGGCGTCCTATTTTGGTGAAGGAAATTTCCACCAGCTCCTCAGATGTCGGGAGCTGGGAAACCCGAGGGCGGGGATCAGAGCTCGTGAGCGGGGGTGGCGTCCTGGAAGCAGGATAACGGATCCACCCTGTCCGGGAAGGACCGTAGTCCCACTCGGGATGTCTACAAAGGAGACGAGGAGTCTGGAGGAGTACCATTTCTCTGTACAGCCGCACCGGGGAGACCGTGTTCACTACGTACAAGCTCCATCCGGCCTCAGCTACGGGAGGTGTTCTGAATTTCACCCTGGTGCCTTTTTTAGAACTAAAAGCAAAACAAAGGACAAAAACTGTAAGACAAGATATCTAATCAATGGCGATTTTAATTGATACCTAAAGTAATGTCACTATGACATCATCTTCCTTTAGTATTTCCTTCAGTGTTAACTATACAGCCGGGCTTTACACAGGCCTATACTTAACATTCTACAACCCATGAACTGACGACCCCCTCACGTCCCCCTCCTTCCACAGTATTCTTAAACAGGCAGTGAGCTCACGCACAGGCAAGAGCCCTCCAAAGGGACAGCAAGGTGTCTGTGCAAGTCCGTGTGCCCAGGACTCTGCTGCAAGCGGCCTCGAGTCTACACGCCCCGCACCACGAGTCTACACGCCCTGCACCGCCAGTCTACACACCCCGCGCCACGAGTCTACACGCCCTGCACCGCCAGTCTACACGCCCCGCGCCACGAGTCTACACACCCCGCATCACCAGTCTACACGCCCTGCACCACGAGTCTACACGCCCTGCACCACCAGTCTACACGCCCCGCATCGCCAGTCTACACGCCCTGCACCACCAGTCTACACACCCTGCACCACGAGTCTACACGCCCCGCACCGCCAGTCTACACACCCCGCACCACGAGTCTACACGCCCTGCACCGCCAGTCTACACGTCCCGCACGAGTCTACACGCCCCGCCCTGCACTGCCAGTCTACACGCCCCGCACCACGAGTCTACACGCCCCACCCTGCACCGCCAGTCTACACGCCCCGCACCACGAGTCTACACGCTCTGCACCGCCAGTCTACACGCCCCGTGCCATGAGTCTACACGCCCCGCCCTGCACCGCCAGTCTACACGCCCCGCACGAGTCTACACACCCCGCACCACGAGTCTACACGCCCCGCCCTGCACCGCCAGTCTACACCCCCCGCACGAGTCTACACGCCCTGCACCGCCAGTCTACACGCCCTGCACCACGAGTCTACATGCCCCGCATCGCCAGTCTACACGCCCCGCACCATGAGTCTACACGCCCCGCACCATGAGTCTACACGCCCCGCACCATGAGTCTACAGGCCCTGCACCACGAGTCTACACGCCCCGCACCACGAGTCTACATGCCCTGCACCATGAGTCTACAGGCCCTGCACCATGAGTCTACACGCCCTGCACCATGAGTCTACACGCCCTGCACCACGAGTCTACAGGCCCTGCACCACGAGTCTACACGCCCTGCACCACGAGTCTACATGCCCTGCACCATGAGTCTACAGGCCCTGCACCATGAGTCTACACGCCCTGCACCATGAGTCTACACGCCCTGCACCACGAGTCTACAGGCCCTGCACCACGAGTCTACACGCCCTGCACCACGAGTCTACATGCCCTGCACCATGAGTCTACAGGCCCTGCACCATGAGTCTACACGCCCTGCACCATGAGTCTACACGCCCTGCACCATGAGTCTACAGGCCCTGCACCATGAGTCTACACGCCCTGCACCACGAGTCCACGAGGCTCCATCAGGGCAACACTCAAACACTCACAGCTGTGGGGACACACACCCCTGCCAGTCTGCTTGGAGCACTGCCCACCTCTTGCTGTGTGATGCCCTTTCTGTGGTGCACAAACTGTTTCAAACATAGACCCTGGACCAAATGCACTTTCAAATAAATTAGAATTTTGAAAAAGCATTAAAAATATATACTACTTCACAAATGTCAAATGTACAAGATTACAAGTTGTTTTTCCTCTCGCTTTTAAGATCAGTCAGACCACTCTGTACTCTAAATGATCACTTCCCCAAGTCAACCTGGTTATTCCTTTTGGTGGAACAAGTACAGGCACAAGCAATTAAAAACATACACACATGAAAACTTAAGTTAAAAATAAAAACCAGCCCAGCCGGTGTGGCTCCGTGGATGGAGCGTCGCCCCAGGGACTGAGAGTCTGGGTTCAATTCCCGGTCAGGGCACACACCTGGGTTGCAGGCTCGATCCCCAGTGGGGGGCGTGCAGGAGGCAGCCAACTGATGTTTCTGTCTCACATGGATGTTTCTCTCTCTTTCTCCCTTCCTTTCTCTCTAAAAAAAAGTCAATAAAAAGATATTATAAAAAATAAATAAAAATAAATGCCAGTATTTGATTTGAAATACATTGTATGTTTCTCGCCCGAAAACAGTTTCTTGCCTGATTAAGTTTTCCACATAGAAATGTTCCAATTAGACTGCAATGCCTACCACTAAGAGCACAGCACAGAAAACATCAGCTAGAAGCTTAACGATCTGAAATGAAACATTCTGTGCTAAACAGCATGAAAACAGAAACGTGGAATGTGGACCAGATATCAGTGTTATCGAACTGCAATTGTTTTAAGGTAGATCAGTACATAGCTATACATCATGAATGTGATTTAAGGTAAGAAACACACTGCTAATTTCTTTTGAATTGAAACACCAGAAAATAATCTTCAGATAAAAATACAATCACTGAAAGGTCAAAAAAGAAAAATACGCAGTGAGAGAAATAGGTTAGCATCAGAGGCCCTGTCTGTTCTGTTAATTATACAGAAAAGCGTGTCCTTTAACGGTTTATCTAAAATACCAGATTTTTATTGAAACTGTTTTATAATGCATTTTCTTCTAAGAGTTGCAAGGTCAATTATAAAGGATATTATGGAGATCATTAAAACTTATTTTCCTTTCTCTGGAAAAAGAACATGATAAAAACGTCGCCTGGTCATTCACGGTTTTGCAAAATACACCCGTAACAATTCAGTGCAGGAGCTGCCGGGCCCCGGGGAGGGGTGCTCACAGAAGCCTCCTGGGCGCCTCTCCTCTCTCTGCAACCGCGTCAGGGTCCGCCTTGGCCAGGAGTACGATGTGGCTGTTGAAGTGGCAGATGGCTTTCAAGCCTATGAAAAGCTGTATTCTTAGAACGCAGACGTCCATACTGACAGGTGGGCAAGCCTAGCGGAGGAGAAATCACAAACTTCACCAAGGAAAAACATACGTGAACTTCATCTTCAAAAATCCATCCGTTCATCTGACAGTCTCACCTGCTCCACCCCCTCTCAAAAAAAAAAAAAAAACCCCTCAAATTCCTGTCCTTACCAGAGCGGGGAGGTTACCCATCTAAACTCATGTAACCAAGTATTTACTTCATGTGTGCCTGCCTAAGAGCCACTTTCTGAACGCATTCCGAAAGTGGGTGCGCCTGAGGCCCCTCACAGCATGGGGACCCCCCCCCCTGGCTCCCAGAGTGCAGCCATGGGCTGGCGAGCTGCCCCCGGGGAGATCCCACTATCAGTGTGCAGGCTGGGGGTATGCCCACACGGGGTTTCTCGGCAAAGTGAGACACTACGAGAGGACACTCCTGCGCAGAGCACATGAACTGGTTTCCTGGCAGATGGGTGTGAGACATGCTCGCATGAGAGTCGTAGGTGTGGACATGCCCAGAATGGCCGGCAGGGGCAGCTGGCGGAGACCTGGGCCAGGAGCATCAGTTCAGCGAGAGTGGAGGAGTCAGAGAGCTGTCCAGGGTCACAGAACGCTGCCAGGCCTGAGCCCCCCTCCGTGCACACTGCTCTGACAGAGCCGTCTCCTGGGCCCTTCGTGAGGCGCTGCGGGACACCTCCGTCCGTCTCTCTATCCCTGACAACAGCGGGGTGGCCCTGCTAGCGCCGAGGAGCCGGACCTCAGAGCAGAGAAAGACAAAGCACTCTGGGCCAAACAGGCTGTAGAAGCTTTCTCAGCGGGCTCAATGTCTGTGAGCGGGTGGGGTGGCATCGAGGGGTTCCGAACGGCGGAGACCCAGGGAGGGGGACGGTCTCAGGGGTGGAGGTGCCCACCAGCTGCCCGTCTCTCCTCCGTTCTCCCTTCCCCTTTCGGCCCCTTCCCTGGGCTTATGAGACTGAGAAGACCTGAAGTTACTATTTATGTTCAAGTGCAGATCGATTCTACCTCAATGTATTCTCTATCCCTCACTACCACCACCACCACCTATGTCTTCCTGAGTTTGTTTTTTTAAGGCATGGTATGGGGAGAAGAAAGGGACAAAGAGTCTGTCTGCTTTCAACTCTTTACTAGAAAAATACCTTTATTTTTGCAATGATCCCTTGGAAAGGCTATGCGTCTATGTGAACCGCAGACAGAGAGGCGAGGGAGAGCTGTGACTCGTTTCCCGGAGGCCGGGGGCGGGCAGCGAGCCTGGTCGGCCACAGCAAAGGAGTCGAGGGAACGCAGCTGGCAGGAAAGCCGACCGCCTGTCCTAGCCTGCAGCCGTGAGGACCGGAGCGCCTCAGACACACGGAGCCTTCACAGCGCCGGCCCTTCACCAGACCTTCACGACCGAACACTTCGTCTTGCAGGCATAGGCTTCCAGATGCCTTTTTCCAGACAGACATACACTACCTTGTGCACACAGGCCATCGAGCTCTGGGCTTCCTGCAACCTCTATCTGCACAACAAACACCCGCTCAAGTAGTTTACAAGTCAGGGAAAATGCATCTGATGAACATCGTAAACAGTATCAGTATGTTTCTGAGAACAGAAATTCGAGGTCGGACACACAGAATTTCATCATGAACCACCCAGGTGTATCTTGTGGTCAAGAGCCCTGCAGAGACTCGTGTACTACAAATGAGGTCACTGATCTCCCACACCCATCAACTTCTAGATTTAGGCTACAGAAATACAAAAGGTTGTTGAAGGGTTGTGAAGTAGCAGAAGAATTATGGGCAGATCTGATAACAATATAAAGAAACTATTTTAATGTACTTTATTCAGTGTTGTGTTCTTGAATATACTAATTTCTAAATTGCTGTGTTAATAGCTATATATAATTGCCACCAATTTTTCTGTTAGAAAATAAAACTGTAGCATGCTATAGTTGGAAAGTACTTCCTCTGAAGTTACACTATACATATTCTTCAGCAAATTTTTTAAAGTATACACTACACCTAAATTCTGAGTGAAAAGTTTCTAATCTTAAACACTGCCATCTAAGCCGTGAATAAAAACGCCTGCGGCTCCACATTCAACAGCTCTGATTCATACACAAGCTCTCAGGACCCCTCCCGTCTGGCTCGCTCAGGCCGAGCGCGGGCTGGAAGTAGGCCTGTGTCCCCAGCTCAGGGCGATGCGCCACCAGCCCGGCCTCACCTTCAGGGTGGAGTCCACGTAGGGGTCCTCCTCGCGGGCCGCCGCCGCACTGCACCGCACGGTGAAACACTGCAGGTAGTTACTGAGGGGAGGAGAGAGGCACTGAGTGTGTGCAGGCCGGAGCCGTGCCCACCGCCTGCAGCGTGTCCCAGCGAACCGAGCAGTGACCGAGGCGGGAGAAGACTCGTGTCTGCCAAATGCGGACCAGGTAGACTGCTTCTTATCCAGGAGGGTACCCTGGCACCCCTAGAGAGTGTTTTCTAAAACGGCATCGGTGCCCACCTTCCCTGCTGAGTCGTCCGCGTGGCTGTCTGCTCCCAGCTAAGAGCCAAGGACCGGGGTCCATACCCTCACTTTGCAGACGAATCTGCCCAGGAGCAGTGCCAGGTACAGAGTTCAGGATCAAAGCCAAGATTAGAACCCAAATCCTTTTTTTTTTTTTTTTTAGGGCAGCAATAATTGCAGATATTTTATTAATAAAAATGGGTCTAAATTCACCTTTTTAAAGCTATTTAGTTTATTAATTTATTTTTGTTACAGATGTTTCTCCTTTTCCCCCTATTGACACCCTCCTCCTGACCCCTCCCCGCCCAGCACTGCTGTCTACGTCCACAGGTTATGCATACATGCACATAGGTTCTGTGAGAACCCAAATTCCTGACTATCATCTCTATGCCGCTCATCTCAGGATGCAACTGTCATGGATCATACTGGACAACACACTCAGCTGACACGGACACAAGTCCAGGGGAGATTGGAAAATCAGGGGCTGTCTGACAGAATCTTCAGTTACCCATTCAGCAGCTTCTTTTAAAGATTAGGGCATGGAAGGTTCGTGGCAGGTCCAAGGCCTTTCTGGAGAACAGAGCCAAATCCGACCCTAGGTCTCCTCACTCCTCACACTCCATCTTGTTTCACAACGCCTGGCTGCTTCTGTGCACGGGACAACTCAGGGGCCCCCAGGAAGGGCACACAGATGCCTGGTGACTGGTGGGTAAGTCAATACTGCAATACTGACATTAGAAACAGTTAACTTAGTACGGCCGGTGTGGTTCAGTGGTTGAGCACTATAGCACCAAGAGGTCGCTGGTTCAATTCCCAGTCAGGGCACATGCCCAGGTTGTAGGCCTGATCCCCAGTGGGGGGCATGCAGGAGGCGGCCAATCTATGTTCTCTCTCATCGATGTTTCTCTCTCTCTCTTCCTCTCCTTTCCTCTCTCTCTAGAATCAATAAAGGAAAAAAATGTTTTTAAATAAATAAAAAAAGTTAACTTCGAAATTGCTACAAAACCTATCTTGTAGTGAATTCACAGGAATGATTTTTAAAAACAAATTAAAAAGTGGGAGAAGTACAAATGAGCACTGCTAAAATAAAAAAGCAAAACACTAAAGCAAACCTAACAATAATCCTAAAAGAGAAGCAATACACCTTTAACACGAGAGGTGTTCTGACACCTGCCCGGCTGGAGACTGCACAAGTAGGGAGGCCGGGCGGGGCTCTCGTCATCTCTCGCTGAGGCTTCTGGTGAATATGCACCGACTGTTGTGAGAAGTAGGGTTGGAGGTGAGGCCTTTCCCGTTTATGTATTTCTATAAGGGCGACATTTTATGTGATTTTATATTGTTAGATTTTTTTTTTTTAATTTTCTTCTATTGCTTTCTTTTCAGGGGAGAGCACGCAGTCCCCCACTCCCACAAATGATGCAGCCCCGTTCCCCACACCTGGGGGATCGCAGGGGCCAGCACACCTGGAGAGCAGTGGACAAGCCTCGCCCTGGGACAGCCTTCGTGCTCAGGGGTCTGCCCTGCCAGGTCGGTGTACACTGCTCTTTCTAGGGGTATAAACATTCCGGTCTGCAGGACACGCGACTTGTACTCAGGAAGTGGCCGGGCATACGTGTACAGGGCCCACTCACCAAATTCTGTCCCATACGTCTGTGCAATGAGACGGGGAAAAGAGGGACAGACTTGAGCATCAGTATTTGGGACATAAATTAATACTGTATTCCTTCTTCCTCCCTCTTTCTGCCTTGGTCTCTGAGATGCTGTCGTGTCCTAGGTTTCTCCACGTCCTTGAAGATCTTCACTTCCTCCTCTCGCTTCCTGAACGTGACCTTCACCGGAGCTTTAGTCCAACCACTTTTCTCTGCTCCTCTCTGGGTTCCACGCTCACTACTTCAATAGGCAGCTATTTTCCGACTATAATAAAACATCTAAGTTTTCCTCTCTTCCCTCACCTTTAATCCTATGTGTCCAAAGCACACTTACCATCTTTTCTTAATATTCCCTAAGTACCTCCATTCTTTCACAAAAGCAGGCTCGAAACTCCTGGGGTTTTCCATGCCTCCTCCCTTCCAGCTACTCCATCTGACACCAACCGAGTCTTCATTCTCTTGCCAGAGCCTCTCCCACCCATTCTTCTCTCTCCTCTACCGTCCTGCCCAAACACAGCCCTTCAATCCTCACTGGGCACACTTCACTCGCTACTTATGTCCAATCCACCCTCCATAGTGGCCACCAGTGATTTTCCTAAAACAATGCTCTGACCACATCACTTTCTTTGGTCAAAACCTTAAAAAATCCTTAGTTGAATTTTCAAAGCCCTGAGCTACATTTCAGCTTCCTTATTTCTGAGGAACAACACTCTGGAAACTGAGAAGACTAGCTACCTCCACAGTGTCCACTTAAGAAACATACGAAAGCATTTCTCCTTACACCAGAGTGGGAGGAGAGGGGAGCACCCCCACGAGCAGTGGGCAGCACCCCCACGAGGAGTGGGCATCCAATCCCCAGGTGGGTCCTGGGTTGTCTGGAATACACTCCAGCACCTGCTGCAGATTCTGATAATGCCATTCAGTAGGGAAAAAAAAAAAATCACTGTCCTGTTTCTAAAAAATAATTTAGCCCGGCTGGTGTGGCTCAGTGGCTGAATATCGACTCATGCACCAAGAGGTCACCAGTTTGATTCCTGGTCAGGGCACATGCCCAGGTTGTGGGCCCGATCCCCAGTGGGGGGCGTGCAGGAGGCAGCCAGTCGATGTTCTCTCTCATCGATGTTTCTGTCTCTCTCCCTCTCCCTTCCTCTCTCTCTAAAATCAATTAACAAAAAAAAATTATAAAAAATAAAAATAATCTAATTAACAATACAATAAATTTCTGGTCGCTCCTGCAAAAACCTATATGCCACAGCCTTTGTTTATAGTGTTCCCTCCATAATGCCCTTCTTTTCCAGTCTTCACCTGTCAAAGTCTAACTAGCTTTCAGGCTTCACGTCAAACATAAAACACTTTTCCATGACTCAGCCAGAGTAGTTTCTCAGTGTCCACCGCTTTCCTGAGGCCTCAAGACACTTCTCACAAATCCCTAGTGTCTGCGCCCTGCGTGTGTGTCTTTGGCCCCCTCTATGCTGTTGCTTTAGAAAACAGATGGTGCACTTTATCCACAGTTGCTTGGCAGGAGGGCCCACGGCAAGTGTTCTGCACATAATCTAAGCTCAATAAAACATGAAATAGAACCCAAAGCATCGCTTACTGCTGAGATAAGAAGAAATGAAGTCAAAGTTCTGCTCAGGACCCCCGTTTACACGCCAGCAAACCGGGGAAGGCACCTCAGAGGACGCCTGCCACCAAGCATGCCTTCGGCCAATCCCGGCCTCTGGACGATTTCCCTACCTGCACCAACCAAAGGTGCAGACGGCCGTGCTGGCCCCTCCCAGTTCTGAACCATTATGAAATAATTCAACTCACACGGAGAGATACAATAGCAGCGAAAAAAATTAGAGAAAGAAACCTAGAGATGCCCTGACTGGCCCCACTGACTTTTCATTAGAACTCCCTGTGACAGTTTTCTCTCGGGAAAAACCTCATTCTTTCTTACAAAGATCCCCATCCCGTCTAAGAAAACAAAACAAAGGCAAAACCGGAATCTAAATCATTGACGCCAAAAAGGCAGCGATGGGCCATCAAAAGACAGGTATAAACATTAATTTACAGTGTTATATGCTGGTTCACACAATTCTCATTTCGATTTGGAAAGCACCTCAAGAGTTCACAGAAAAATAGTGACTCAAAGGCCAGCAAGCGACCCTACAACGCACCTTGTGATGACATGCAAAAACTGTGGCGTGAGCACGGCCTGCTGGGACTTCTCGGGGTACTGGTACACCGACATTAATTCCACCGACTTGACCACCAGGTAGAGATAGCCCACATGAGGCAATGAGAAAAAACAAAACAGACTCAGCAACTCCTTTTCCTGAGACAAATTTTTTCTCTGAGAAGTAAGAGAATCTGTATGAAAAAGAAAAAAAACACATAAAACTAGTAGATTAAAGGGAAGCAATATCTTGACTTTTCTAGGCAAAAAAGTCTTTCGGTGGGTAACCGAAGAGTTCTTAGGGGAGGGTGCTCTTGACAGAAGAATGACAGTGAGAAATTCAAAAGGAATGGTATAATTAGAGTATCACCACAGTGTAACTCCTAATACATGAACAGATCCAGGTGGTAATCATTAATGGCTATTAACGTTACGAAAAGAGTCAACCGGATTCTATGTACCTTTCAACAGAACTCGACACTACTTGTGTTCCCTAGTAACAATAATAATAATAACCTGATCAAGACTAAGTCTAGACTAGTACTGTCAACAGAAATGTAACGTGAGCCACCTGTGTAATTTGGTTTCCTAGAAATCACATTTACAAAAGTAAAAACAGTAGATTTCAATTTGGACTAGTCACACGTCAAGTGCTCAGGAGCAACGTGTAACTAATGGCTACCATACTGAAACATGTAGCGTTAGACAGAACTACCAAATCCTGGGGAAATACAGGGGATACAGGAAAATGTTAAATGACACTCCGAGGAGTCACTTAGCAAAATTCAGATTGTGGGAAATTCTACAGTTATTAGTCTAGTTTCTTGCTAAACAAATTGCACAGAGAAGAGAACGAGGGAGGAGGGGGAGAACCTACACATTAAAAGACTCTGGAGACCAGCCGCCAATTGCAGTGCATGAACCGTAGGTGGAATCTGATGCAAAGAAATGAATTAAAGGAAATTTTTTTTTAGACAATTAGGGAAATCTGAACACTGATTGGATATTTGATGATCTCAATGACTTTTTAAACATGTGAAATGGTATTTTGGGTTTGTTTAAATAAAAGAATCCTTTTCTTTTAGAAATACATGCTGAAATATTTATGGATCAAATAGTACAAACTCTTGAATGTGCATCAAAATAATCTGGCACAGGGCAGGGAGGGGTCAGCACCAGTGAAGCTGTGTGATGGGTACATGGGTTCAGTGGTATATCTTCTCTACACCTATGTGCTTGAAATTTCTCATAATCAAAAAAATTTGTTTAAGTTTAGCTCCTGCCTGGCCGGTGTGGCTCAGTGGTTGAGCCTCGACTCTGCACCAAGAGGTCACTGGTTTGATTCCTGGTCAGGGCACATGCCCAGCTTATGGGTCCGATCCCCAGTGGGGGGCGTGCAAGGGGTGGCCAGTCGATGTTCTCTCTTGATGTTTCTATCTCTCTTTCCCGCTCTCTTCCTCTCTCTCTCAAATCAGTAAGAAAAAAATTTGAAAATGAAATAAAAGTTTAGCTCTGCCACTCTTCAAGGACACCCACTGACAACAGAAGAATGCCCAATGCTGCATTGTCCGTAACTGGCCCAGGGCACCTGTCCAGTTTTCCCTCTCCTTCTCCACACACGTCTGTGCGCGCTCATCTCCAAACATACGATGCTATCATACCTTGTACATGTTGGTTCCTCTGGTGTAGTATCTCCCTAAAATCTCCATCTTCTAAACACTCTACACATCCCTTAGGGCCCAGCTCAGATGGGCACCACCCTTCCATTCATCAGAGACCTAAGCACATCCCTTAGGACTCAGCTCAGACATGCACCATCCTTCCATTCATCAGAGACCTAAACGCACCCTTGGGGCCCAGCTCAGATGGGCACTATCCTTCCATTCATCAGACACCTAAGCGTATCCCTTAGGGCCCAGCTCAGATGGGCACCACCCTTCCATTCATCAGAGACCTAAGCGCCTCTGTTCTCGGTCCTGGGGATACAACAGCGCACAGACGAGGTAACTGCATTCACTCTAGTAATGAGGACCAAGTAGAGAATAAATGAACTGTGTAGTATGTGGAGAGGTAATAGTTTAAACTGGGCGCTCAGGGAAGTCCTCTGGGGTGAGGTGACATTTGAGCTGTGAGTTGAATGACTCAAAGACACTAGTCATGCAGGACCTGGGGAAAGGCACACCCTCAGCACCTGAAGAGTAAGTAACATGTCTCACACAAGAGACACACGGCATATCTGAGGACAAGAGAAAGGCCATTTGGATGGAGAACCGTACGCAGGGTGAGCGGGACAAGACAAGAATCAGGGTTGTGTGGGCCACGAAAATGACTTGGGATTTTACCCCAAGTGCTACGGAGGGCCCCAGGACAGAGCTGGCCCTCCGACGTGGCCACAGCCCTGTCCGGTCTCCAGGCTCACCGCTCAGGCCTCTCTGCCTTGCTAGACTCTCCCCGTCGTGCCTCTCTCGGTTCCTCAAATAAGATCTGCCCTCAGCCACAGTGCCTTTGCTGCTGCTTCCGCACCAATCCTATCCCCACACCAGCACCAGTTCCCTCTTCAGATCCTCTTTCTCAAGAAGCCTTTCCTGACCACCAGATGAAGTCAGGATCTTCGGTTGTAGGCTTTCCAGGCAGGTTCTGACTCCCCCCCTCCCCCCACACACACACAGCACTCATTTCAGCGTGTAACTGTACCCTCCTTTTTGTGATTACGTGATGAATCACTGTCTACCTCTCCCATGAGACGACAAGCTCCATGAGTGTAAGTACTTTGCCTACTTTTGCTTATTATTGGTTCCCTGACGTTCACCACCATACCCAACGTAGGAGGTACTCAATAAATGTTCACTAAAACAAACAAGTAAATGAAGGTTATAAACACGTTTAGTCAGAATACTGTTTATATCTTTCTCTGGGCAACATCTAAAGATGTAAACAGGCCAGGACTAAGTACAGTACCCAACGCCGGTTCTCAGTTTTGGTTGCCACTAGACTCCTGAGGAGCTTTTCAAAAAGACTGATGCCCAGGCTCCGTAAGTGACCTAGTGGTCAGAGTCTCCAGCGTGCAGGACCTGACATCGCCACCCTTAAAGGCACCGCTGTGAGCCCAGTGTCCAGCACACCGGGAAACCGCTTGGAATGACCCCCTCAGCCCACCGCCCCACCTGCGAAGCTGGCCACTCCCAGCGGGAACCCAGGGACGCCCCACCTGTGGCTCTTATTTCCCTTTTTGGATCTAGAGGCCATTTTTCAAAAACAGAAGTGGCTTTTGTCCGTCACGTCCTCTCCATGGCTTCTCCCCGCAGACACGACTTCCCTTTCCAGTGCTCGCAGGGATTTGCTAAGGAACCGTCCAAGGCTCCAGGGAGACTCAGCAGAACGCCCCAGCCTATTACCCACGTCAGTCCGCCCCCAACCAGAGCCCTGCCCCCACTGCACGGGCCACGGGCACACTGACCTGTCTGGTAAATGGGCAGCAGCTGGAGGGAATGCAGCTGGACGTCATCGGACGAGGCATAGGACGAAACGTCGGGGGCAAAACGTCTGTGAGTGTAAAAGACAGGGGAGCGGTCTAATTCCCACGCACTGTAAGCAGGTAAATACACATTGAATGCTGGTGAATGAAAGGCTACAGAATACCTATAGAGCAGATGCTGAACATGGAAATATCTTATTTTTCCCTCCTCCAGTCCTGTCGACTCCAGCGTCACAGACACTCCAGACTGTTCACTGTTCTCGCCGAGCAGTTCCATGGGCTTTGGGCAGAGGACAAAATCGTCCGACTCAACGTGCAAAGTTTCGTTATTGACGCCTTAGAAAATGTAATTTAAGAAAAGAGTTTAGTGACTCCAAATACTACTTGAATGAAAATGAGATTTCACAACATCCCCCACCAGTTCCGTAGACGTGGGTGATTCAACGCGTTGATACACACGCACCCCTCAGGAATGAACAAGGCACAATGGTTTTGAAGTCTTAGCCCTTGCTCATTTAGTCCTCATCACAATTAAGTCTGTACTCATGGTTATCCCCATTTTATACACGAGGAAACTGAAACCCAGAGACGGAATTCTGAACCCAAGCTCATTCAACTAGTAACTATGAGAACTGGGACTAGAACTCCTCATGCAGCAGTTCCAGTATTTCTACTGACAGATATTACTGAAATGCATTGCATGCTCCACAGTGAGATCACAAACCCAACCCCATGTTTCAGGAATAACTCCATCTATACACAGTGTAACATATACACTACACTGCTTCAGACAGCGCCGGAGGTGAGGGTTTTCTCGACACCCGAAACGGGAGAGCAAAGTCATCACTTACCTTCTGCCCGCGTCACCAGGGTGCTGGGCTTACGTGGACGGTGCTGAACTCTCTCTCCATTTGTAGGGGTTGACTCCAGTTTTAGGATCAAGACTTCTAATTCTGACATGACAGCCACATATCCAACACAGAAAGAAATTTCAACAGGAGTGATGTTACGTACGTGTATAATTAAAGAACGTTCAAAGTCCAGTACCGACAATTGTTCATCGATGACTTGGTACTTCAGACTAAATAAGATGAACTTATTTGTGCAGCCAACAAGAAGGTCCCCTGTCACAGGACAACAGGAAATGCACAAGGGGGCCTCGGAGAGCGGCATTTCCACAATGGACATCTGGTCTCGGAAGCTCTCTCGGGACGGTGCCTCCACGTTGTGGCCGACCATGCGGATACACACGCGCGAGTTTTCGGTCCTTTTACATCTCCAGTTCACGTAAGCGCGTAGAAAAGTCGCTTGGTTTTTCTCTTCAATTGCTACCAAATAGTCTCCTGAGAAGGAAATAAGATTATACTTCGAATTTGTAATTAGTAACTACTTACCTTGCATCATGAAAAGGAACTATTAGTGAATTCTAATGTGAATGGCTGAATTAAAGACTGGCTAGAAAAACCAAAGGAACAGACTCTCAGGTACAGTTTTAACTGACATTAGGCATTTAGGTTCTGAAATACAATCTCTCTCCATTTTAATGTCTTAAGATACCCGTGAATTATTCATGTAGCTCACAGAGAAAGTTTGCATTTTATTCCTGTGTTAGCTCTACGTGTTTACTGTAGCTGACTGCAGCTCCAACAAAACCCTCCCAGCCAGACTTCAGCAGCACCAGCATGATATGAAATTAGATATAAATTACTCTGAGGTTAGCAGAACTTACACTACAACCCCTCCCCTACCCACAAGTCACATTTTCATGTTAATGCTGAGAAGCAGAATAAAGTTATACATATTAAATGAAATTTAAATCCTTAATTGTTGATTTTATTAGATTTTTTAAATTACAAATTTTATAACTACTTTTTCTGAAATTTTTTTCTTTATTGATTTGAGAGAGAGAGGAAGGAGAGGGAGAGAAAGATGGAAACATCGATGGGAGAGAACATTAACTGGCCGCCTCCTGCATGCTCCTCGCTGGGGATCGGGCCCACAACCTGGGCACGTGCCCTGACCGGGAATCCAACCGGCGACCTCTTGGTGCAGGGTCGACGCTCAACCACTGAGCCACACCGGTGGGGCTTTAATTACTTTCTATTGTGAGAAGTCGGAGTGGTGGAAATGTGGAATGACGAGCCTACGCCCTCTCCCCGCAGGCCGGTCCGCGAGGAGCAATGCTAACACACAGCCTGGCACGTGCCCTTCTACTCCGTTCTCTCCTAAGCGTAGGTCACAGAGAGCTGCTCTGCCTCTTTTTTTAATGATCGAAATGGAATCACACTAAGTATATTTACCACTCTGCAACTTTAAAAAATTACCAACAAATCCTTCCCTCCAGGACTATCCATGGAATCCAACATCCTTTCCGATAGCTGCCTAACAGCCTGTGTATGCATGTGCCGCAGCTAACTCAACAATTCCCCTCCTGACACGCATCCGAATACCTGGGGTTCTGCCACTTTACTTCATGCTGCAGTAACAGGCCTATACCTACATGTTTATTTCCTGGGGGGTTTGTTCCAGTGGTGTAGGCTCCCAAAAGAATGTTGGGCCAAAGAGTGGGTACATTTAAAACTTTCATAACTATCGCCAGATTGCTGTCACAGTGACACAGACATTCACGTTGCCGACAGCACTATGTGACATGCCTGTTTCCCCACCCTCACTCCCCTGACTGGATTTAATGAGGGAAACATGGGCTCTCATGGTTATCATAATTCATATTTTCCAGACCACTTATGAAGTTGGCCATCTTCTTCCTTTATCAGCCCTGCATAATTTCTCTTCTGCAAGTTATCCACTTTTTTATTGGGTTGTTCAATTTTTCTTATCAAGGAATAGCAGCTCTCTGGGAAAAAGTGACATGAGCCCTGGCCAGTTGCTCAGTGGTTAGAGCGCCGGCCTGCAGACCAAAGTGCTGAGGGTTCAATTCCCAGTCGAAGGCACGTATCTGGGTTGCAGGTTCGATCCCTGGCCAGGCACCGTGTGGAAGGCAACCAACTGAAGGGTCTCTCTCACATCCGTGTTTCTCTCCCTCTCTCCCCTCCCTCCCTTCCACTCTATCTAAAAATCAATGGAAAAATATACCCTCAGGTGAGAATTAACCAAATAAATAAATAAATGTGACACTGATCCTTTGTTGGCCATGAAGAGCAAGACATTTTTGGTAGTCTACTGTTTGGCTTTTGTTATCATCATGTTAGCTAGGTAACATTAATAAAGGAAAGAAAGCAAAGGGAAGTCAGCATTGGAAGCGAGATCACCTGAGAAGCTTCACCAGGAAGCTACAGCTTCACATGAAATTGTTCCTCCAAGAGGAGAACACCCCTCCCTTCCCCACCTGGTCCTGGATTGTTGAGGAGAGACAGGCACGTGGACAGCAGAAGTCAGGGTGACTAAGGAAGGTCACCCTGCCAGTCTAGCCTGGGGAACAATGATGAGGCGGGTGGACTTCATCAGAAGCTCATGAAATCTTGGCAAGTTAACTGGTTAGTTTGAAGAAGTTCCTGGTTAAAAATCCCCAAAGAGTTCCCTCTCTCTGGCTCTTGCTCCGTGAGCTGCACTGGCCCGTGTGCTTTGCCTGTTCGCTCTCCACAGCCACGGGACCGTAAGCAGCTGCATGGCCCACGGCCTCACGAACCACAGGCAGGGTGCTGGGCTGGGCTCGACTTGACCGTGGGGCAGAAACTGTGGGCCTGTTCTGGCCCTGCTAAGACACAGCCGGACTTCTGCTATGGTGAGACGGACAGAGATGGGACCTCGGAGGGGAACCCCCTTAATTTGACATCAAGAAAGCTTTCCAAGAAACCCCGTCCGCCTGTGGGGGCCTCAGGAAATTCATTTCCCGTGGCACCCCAAGAACTCCACTTTTGCTTATGGCATTTTTACCACACAATTTTTATGTAGTCAGATATTTATCTCTTCCTTCTTGAATTCTGAGTTTCCTAATTTGCTTAGCCAATCTCCTATGTCTTCCAAATTATGAAAGGGGCGGGAGAGAATAACAATAGAAAGCGAATCACAGCAGGACCCTAGCCACAGTTATAAGAAATATTAACCATCCTTTCCCATGTTCATGGAGATGGCTTAGTTCTGCTTGAAGAAGAGCCCACTCCGCCCTGGCAGGGAGCTGTGCGCCCTGGGAGCTGACCCAGGAGTGCTGTCCACTCTCCTGATCTGAGGACAAGGGGGCTGCGGGACACCTGGAGAGATTAGCCACCTGCTTGTCTGAGCAGTGCAGCCCTGGAGGCAACACACTGCCGTTTGCAATTGCCGGGTCCACATTCCTCCCCCTGGCCGAAACCTCTGCCGCCCCACCCGCATTCCTTCCCAGGAGTGTGCTGGCCTGTAACCACTTGACCCATTTTTTTTCTTTTTGCCTACCTGCCCTTTCCTCGCGTAGTCTTTATCTTTCTAGCCTTGGATGACCCGCCGCTCTCCCACTCTGCCGGCAATATTGGAATAAATGCTCATCTACAAAAAGATTCAACCTTGTCTCTGCTTAATTGGCTCAAGTAGTGACAGGCGACCCGGACCCCTGTGCTGTCCGGTTTCAAGTACACGAACATGCTCTTACATATTCCATCTTAGTGATTTTTTTTTATTAAAAATTTTAATCTTTGGAACCTTGTGGGTGGGGAGGATAAGTCCAGGTTCTTTGAGGTGCAGAATCTACTATAAGCTAGCTTTATTAGGTAGACAAGCCCTGACGAACAGAAACCTGCAGCAGCTGCAGCCCCTTCGGCAGCCTGCAGAGCTCGGGGCTGGCTGGGGTCCCTCCTCCTCCGGAACGACCCATCACTCAAGAGATGCAAGCCTCCTGCTGCAGGTTCATCTGGCCACAGAGATGGAGGCTGCCCCTCCCCGAGCTCTCTGACGACCTTGGTAGGGTGCCTAAATACCCTCTGCAGGTCCGATGTCCGCTCCTGCTCCAGAGACGCAGTCTGGATGGAGTGAGGGTAGAAGACGCTGTGTTGACTGTTTCCATAGAAATGGGATTATCTAAGAAAAGTCTTTGTATGTCTTGCTGCCATAAAAGACCTTTCAAAACCTCTTCCTTTGAGTAATATTTTCCACAGGGTACTTGCAGGGTTAATGACTTGTTGCATGTCTTTCCTGCGGGCCTGGGTGTGAGGGAGGCTCAGTTGGTCATTAGAAAATTCCAGAAGTGAACCCTGGTTTAGGCTCCAAATGTTGGGCTTCAGTTATGGGAACTTGAAGATATTAGCCTTATGAGAAGTAGCCTTAAAATAAGGATGGCTGGCCTGACCTGTGTGGCTCAGTGGGAGAGTGTCGACCCTGCACCAAGAGGTCGCTGGTTCGATTCCCAGTCAGGGCACATGCCTAGGTTGTGAGCCCGATCCCCAGTGGGCGGCATGCAGGAGGCGGCCAGTCGATGTTCTCTCTCATCAGTGTTTCTCTCTCTCTCTAAAATCAATAAATAAAAAAAATGTTTTAAATAAATAAATAAAATAAGAATGGCTATATAGTTACTTCTGATCTAAATCTGAAAAACAATATTCCTAAATTGTGATGGAGTTGGCTCAAGTTTTGACTATTAAGAAAAGAAGAGTTTCTTTAGTATATAAATTCTTAAGGATATGTTGACAGTATTGAATTACCAACAACCTGCTACTTGAATGGCTTGAACATACCGCACAAGTTCACAGGCCTCCGTAGGTCTTAATAACAGACCTAGGTGCCTATCCCCTCCTTAATTCCATCCGCAGAGGAGGACCCAAGGGGCAGTCACACCTGTGAGGTTTCCCTATTGTGCTATACCAGTCATTGGAGATTCACAGAAATATAACAATGAATAAACTTCCAGTTTAAATTGTGTATGGTTTTAAATGATAAAATTTTTACTGTATATTGATGAATAGTATGATTCAATTAAGTGCTTGTAATTTTAAAACTATTTCATATTCAAAATAAATATAGTTATATATTTATATTTTAAAAAGATGCCCGTGTCCTTCGTCTTCCTAGAATTCTCTCACTAAATACATTTAAATTTTTTATTGTGGTAGCCCAAGCCGGTTTGGCTCAGAGGTTACTGCTGGCCCATGGACGAAGGGGCTCCGGTTTGATTCCTGGGCAAGGGCATGTACCTGGGTTGCAGATTTGACCCCCGGCCCTGGTTGGGGTCGTGTGCGAGGCAACCAGTCAATGTGTCTCTCTCACATTGATGTTTCTCTCTCTCTCTCTTCCTCCCTCCCTTCTACTCTAAAAAACTAAAAATCAATGGAAAAATATCCTTGAGTGAGGATTAACCAAAAAAAAAAATTGTGGTGGTGAAATACACATAACCCATTTTCATCCTTTTTAAGTGTACAAC